CATACCAGGACGAAACGGCCATCCAGTGTTTCCAGGTTTCTAATGGTAGTCTAACATTGATCGAGTCGTGGTTTTAAAATGTGTAAATTAACAATCTTCAGAACCCCGTGATGCATATAAATTTGTCAATATAGGATTGTGAAGATTGTTGAGTTTCACTTGAAATGAACATCATTAGATCATACTGGTTACCTGAAATGACTGGATGACCGTTTTGTCTTAGTATAGAACTCCTCAAAAGTACACACCCATGACCTTGACACGCGGGAATCGAATATAGGATCTTCAGCCTGTGCATGAAAGCTTAACCTCTAAACTGATGAGCAGGCATCCAATGGTGTTAATACCTAACTTCAACCAATCACTGATATCGCGCGACTTGAACATTTGCGTACGATACCAAAGGTCGTAGATTCGATTCCCGCATGCAAAGGTTGTGCATGTGCACTGTTGATGATTGGTCCCATACTAGGACGAAACGGCCATCCAGTGTTCCAGGTTTCTAATCGTAGTCTAACTGTGATCGATCCATGGTTTTAATAAAACATGTACGTTTCTTGGACAGAAAAAACAGACTACAGTTTAGCTTCCCTGACATCTTACATTTGTAAATACTTCTCCCGACAAAAAAAAATGCACAGCCGAAATACGTAACAATGTTTTTTGCTACGTATTTGATGTTAAGAACAATGACAATGCAGCGATTAGTGAATGATTAATTCATTAAACTTTCAGCAGAGAAAGAAATCAGGAAAAATCGATTGAGATGGATAGGACATACACATTGCGGAATGCAACCAACTGCGTCATCATAACTTAGAATCATTCTCAAAGGCCAAAAGAGAACGGGAAGACCACCAAAGAACACATTACGCTAAGAATCCGACACAAACATGAAAAGAATGAATGGTAATTGTGAGTATGACCGGAAAACACGACCGTGGCTGCGAGACGAAAGTCATCGATATTTAGAGCCCTTGAATGACATGCCTCAAAACCGTTTGAAATGGCGCAGGTGTATTCATCCGTTGTCTTCTATGAAATTCTAATCTTCTGAATTCGTCATAATCTCTATCTTTCTCTTTGTAAATTTATCTCACTGAATTATACTTCCCAAATCATATCTTTGAACCCTAATCTTCTCCACTACTGCTAATACTTCTACTATCTCCACCACTAGGGGATTTGAACTGACAGTTGTGTGTCTGTACTGATGGGGTATGTCAGCCGGAACTTATGTACGAAGTTCTACGTTTTGATTGACTGACTGACTGGAAATAAAGGCTCAGGACAGAGTAGGTTGAAGAATACTAATCGGTAGCCTCTTATACTCCAACGCTAGGGAAAACAGGCATAAGTAAGTAGGGTGTAGGCAGTTATCTACCAAAAACAAATGGGTGAGGTCGCGCAAAATCCCTAGATCAATCAGAGTTAGACATTAACACCGATGGTTAGGCGTTCGCGCACAATACCGAATGTCCCGGTTTCGAATCCTGCGGCATGCAGGAGTCGTGGCTGCGCACTGCCACTGATGAGTAGTCCCATACCAGGAAGGAACAGCCATCTTTCAGTGCTTCCAGGGTTTCTAAGTAAGTAAGTAAGCCCTAAAAACTTCTAGTTCAGACAGACAGATACAACACAGAACTTCGTACGTCAGTATATCAGTTCAGGTTGCCATGCCCCATCAGCACAGAGACGCAACTGTCAGTTCAAATCCAACAGTGATAGTAATAATAGAAGTATTAGTAGTAATGGAGAAGATTAGGGAGAGAAGATATGATTCGAGAAGTATAATTCAGTAAGATAAATTTAGAAGGAGAAAGATAGATTATGAGGAATGCAGAAGCTTAGAATTTCATAGTACACAGTGGATGCACCTGCGCCATTGCAAACGATTCTGAGCCATGTCGTTCAAGGGCTCTAATTACCGATGACTATCGTCTCGCGGAGCCCAACGAGCAATGCTTCTGGGACACCTATGATCGAAAACCAGTAACCTATGAATATCTTCTACTCTGACTGGCCATGTTTCACAGCCATAAAGTAAGACGGAGCGAACCACTGCGCAGTACACTCGTCCTTTATTCAGCAAACGGATATCTCACCGCCATAAGTGACGCAGGTTGGCAAAAGCTAATCAAGCCTTCTGTATCCGAGCTGAGATTTCGTCAGTCACCAGGCCATCGGCACTGATGAGACTCCCAAGATAAGTGAAGCGGTCTACACGTTCGACCACTTTACTCCCTATCACTAGTTCAGGTGCCGATGAAAACCAATCTTGAAGCAACATTTTGCATTTGGAGGTGGAAAACCGCATCCCGAACACGCTCGCATTGTTGCTTAAGGTGGTCAGAAGACTCCGCATTTTGTCAGCGTCTTCACCAAACAGAACTATGTCATCGGCATATTCTAAGTCAATAATCGAGCCACCAGGTAATAGGTCTACTCCTGAACATTCACACAAGGATAAGGTTATATCTAGCAGCATGTCTATGATAAAATTAAACACGAATGGATAGAGTGAACATCCCTGACGGATACCACTTGAAATAAACAATTCCGATGATAGTTCGTCATAAGTTCTCATTCAACCAGTGGTGTTCGAGTAAAGAGCTTGTATACCACTAGTCGAGTGAGAGCTCATATTACTAATACACATCCAATCCAATACCCCAACTCTATTCCCATCACATCAAATAAACCACACACACACACACAAACACAATGAATAAATAATGATTTCTATTTGATTACTATTTTTTTTTCTTAAAAAAAAAAGTGAAAAAATGAAATTTAGAAATATTCACTTACATAAAATAATAATAATAATAATAATAATAGTAATTAAACCATTATAAATAAAATAAGCTGATAATGATGAATGAACTGTTGTGTTTAGTTGTTTTCATGTGAAACAGTAGCAATATACATATAGATAGATAGATATATATAATGAGCAGTATAATAGTAATACCCAATAGTACTACTACTACTACTACTACAACTATTAATAATAGTAATAATAATAATAATAATAATTCATCATAATTAGTTATTACAATGTGTAATACAATTGAAAGATTCAGTTTTCATGTACAAAATAAAAGAAAGTATTTGAATTACATTTGGAAAACACAATAGAGAGAGAGCAATCAATGAGGGAGGATGAGGGAAGACATAGAATGATAAATAGATAGATAGATAACTTGTGAACTATCAATGATTAAAGTAGGGAAGTAAACTGAACAGAGTAGTAATAGTAGGAGAAGAGGAACAAACGTGATGATCGTTTCTCTTCAAAAGAAGATAATCGGTGTTGTACACACATTCATGTACAACTACATTGAATTACATGAGGAAAACACAATAGAGACACGCAGAGAGGGAGCAATCAATGAGGGAGGATGAGGGAAGACATAGAATGATAAATAGATAGATAGATAACTTGTGAATTATCAATAATTAGAGTATGAAAGTAAACTGAACAGAGTAGTAGCAGTAATAATAGTAGGAGAAGAAGAGGAACTAAGGTGATGATCGTTTTTCTTCAAAAGAAGATAATCTCGGTGTTGCACACACACACGTACAACTACATTTTACAATGATGCCTATCAGTAATCATCGTCATCGTCATCAGGATGACCAAAAATAAGCAAGAGACACTAATAAGAGAACAGAATCAATGTCCCATAATATGAAGAAAGTACTTGAATTACATCTGGAGAACACAATAGAGACACAGAGAGAGAGCAATCAATGAGGGAGGATGAGGGAAGGAAGACATAGAATAATAGATAGATAACTTGTGAACCATCAATAATTAAACTATGGAAGTAAACTGAACAAGAAAAGAAGAACAAAGGTGATGATCGTTTTTCTTCAAAAGAAACAGAGAAAAGTGCTACATTTTTTGTTTTGATAATCGGTTGCACGCACACACATTCATGTACAACTAACTACATTGAATTACATCTGGAAAACACAACAGAGAGGGAGCAATCATTGAGAGAGGATGGGGGAAGACATAGAATGATAGATAGATAACTTGTGAAATATTAATAATTAAGCTATGAAAGTAAACTAAACAGAGTAGTAGGAGAAGTAGAACTAAGGTGATGATAGTTTTTTTTGAAAAGAGACCAAAAATGCTACATTTTTTGTTTTGATAATCGGTGTTGCACACGTACGCGTACACACACACAAATACATTTTACAATGATGCCTATCGGTAATCATCATCATCATTAAGATGACCGAAAAAAAGACAAGAGACAATAATAAGAGAACAGAATCAATGACCCCATAATATGAGGAGAGAGAGAGAAATGTGTATATGCGTAATGATGAATGCCTAGTCAAAACATTCATGTATATATAACATAATAATATAAATCTGTGGTATGACAACAACAATGACAATAACAATATCACATAATTGCTTCTTTCAATGAATATTAATACAAGATGAAAAAAAGGAAAATTCAATTCACGATCATCATCATCATAATACTCATACAATCAATTGATCGATAATGATGAATAATATGACTGGTACTACTGTTTAATAGTAGTAGTATTGTCAGTAGTATATATAAAGTGCAGAAATGATTCCCCCCACATGTATGAAAACTATGAACAGCAATCATCAGGTGGAGAATGTGACGATATTGAAGATGCCGTGTTGAAATGCACTCTCTCGGCCATGGAGTATACACAGACATACACACCGACACACCTTCGAACCATCGTCGTCGTTCGTTCATTGATTCATTAAATGAGATATTGACTGATCCCTACTTACGATGAAGAAGGGAGCAAAAAAGAACTTTGGTCATACTGAATGAATAAACTGTATTTATTTTTAAGAAGAAACTTTCTTCCAAGAGGAGTGTAGTAGTAGTAGTAGTAGTCAGTGATTTGACCTACAAAATAATACTGGGTTCAATACAAACACCCAAATGAAAGAATAATGAATGGTAAAGGAGAGATAAACGAATTGTCGCCCAATACGCGACTAATGAATTCAAGACATCATAAAAATGAAAGTAAACCAAAATTAATCATTAAATCAATTACAGAATCGATAATAAACCAAAAAAATGAAGGAGGAGACTATTAAGCGACATTAATTGGATTGGAAGTTGATGTTGGCGTTGTCAGTGTAGGCGTTGCTTACTGTTTTTCTGCACTAGGCCATCATGGATTCGTTTTGACCAACTGCTACTATTACTGCTGCTGCTGAAGCAGACGAATGATCATCAATGGATTCGATCGAGGATCTGGTCGATGCGGTGGTTGTGGTTGTAGGTGGATGAGGAGATAACAACGGTGAAGAGAATGATGAATTGGGTGATGTGAGATTTTGAATGAATTCATTGTTAGCTGGTTGGTGTTGCTGTTGTTCAGAATGATGCTTTAAAAATAATTTCGCTGATTGAATTAATGTTTGTACAGTAGAATTATGACTATAAGCAACTTCTTGCCAATCATTCTAAGGGGACGATGGGTGGGGGAGGGGAAGATTTAAGAAATACAGAAGAATATTGATTTATTTATAAGAATAAACAGGAACTTTTAAAAACAAATAATCAGCAGTTTAAGCCATGTCATTCAGGGTCTCTAATCATTGATCACTATCATCTCTGGGGCCCCGACCAGGTAGTCGACACGTACCATCATGATTAAGTCCAGCAGTTAGTGACTTCATGGATTTCTGTCATGTTTTGGTTCGGTCACCCCTAGCTTTCTTCCAACCTACTCTTACACAGTAAAACATAGCTCGATGAGGCAGTCGGTGGTTGTGCCTACGTAAAACATGTTCCAACCACCTCAACTAATGAAGTTTCACTACTTCATTTATTGATCTACCATCCTTACCTAGTACTCGTTTCCTAACAACAGCTTTGTATACTCGATGGTCTCAGGATATACGAGCAATGCTTCGAAGACATCTATGATCGAATAGTAATAGCCTAAAAATATCCTGTACTCTTCTTACTGGCCATGTTTCACACCCATATAATAGGACAGAGCGAATTATTGCACAGTAGACTCGTACTTTAGTCAGCAAACGGATATCTCGCCTACGCCATAAGTGACGCCGGTTGGTAAAAGCCAATCGAGCCTTCTGTATCCATGCTGAGATTTCGTCACACATCAGCTCTGATGACTCTCCCCACATAGGTAAAGCAGTCGACATACTCAACTGCTTCACTTCCTACCACTAGTTCAGGTGCCGATGCAAACCAATCCTAAAGCAACATTTTGCATTTCGACGGGGGAGAATCGCATCCTAAATACACTTGCACTATCGCTTAACGTAGCCAAAAGACTGCATTTTGTCAGTGTCTTCATCCAGAAGAACTAGCTATAAAACAAAACATAGTACTAGTCTAGTACTATTGTGGCGTGAGCTACTTATAAGTAGTATATGACGTGAGTGTCAACGTAATGTCTGACAGCAGAAGATCAAGGGGAAGATCAAGAAAGGAAGAATTAGAAAACAATGGAATTTGTATGAAACGCATGAATAGTGACAATGGATTGATGATGTTTTGCAACAGGAACAGTCCAGTTCGATATGATGAACTGTGATATGTTGCAAATGAACGATTTACGATATGGTTTTTTGCGATTTTACTGAGTAACTCTGTAATTTTCGTTAAATACAATTCGGTTGCCCCACCTATGTTCTCTTTCACTACACTGTTACTAGTCTAATGAAGTCATTGACAATTGAAATGAATTATGTCAATAGGTGTACACTAACCTGATTGCAGTTTGTGTGATTAACAACTTTGAATGGTATGATTCAACATATTAATCACAATGTACACTCATTCTATGTGTTCCATCAAATTCCAGATTTCTAAATTCAATAAATTTTTTTCCCTATTTCAAACGATTTGGATTTTTAAAAAAATCTTATCTTCGATCCTTAATCTCTGTCATTACTACTGATACTGTTATTAGTTCGACTAATTTGGGATTTGTCCTAAAAAGTTAATGACTCTTCACTAACTAACGTGGTTGGGACATGTGTTAGTACTTATGACCAACCATCGACTGCCTCAAAGAGCGATGTGATCTGATGTAGGGGTAGACTGAGAGAAAGTTAGGAGAGGGCAAACCAAAATTTTAAAAAAATCCATGAAGTCAATGGAAACTGGAGGACTAAGCTATGTTGTAAGGTGTAGACTAACTGGTTGGGGCCTAAGAGACAATCGTAACCGATGGTTAGAAACCTTGAATAACATAGCTGAAAATCGTTTACAATGGCCCCGGTGCATTTATTCTCTGTGTTCTCACAAATCACCTGAATTCTTCATCCCCTTTATCTTTCTCTTTCTAAGTTTACCTCACTGAATTATACTTCTTGAATCAGCATCTTCGAACCTTAATCTCTCCAACTGCTGCTCAGACTTCTACTACCTTTACTACTACTGTAGTGAAGGAGAACACAGGTGAGGGCAACCAAATTATATTTAACGAAAATTACAGAGTTACTCAGTAAAATAGGAAAACCAGATCGTTAACGGTTAATTTGCAAATCTTCAATCCATCATCAATCCATTGTCTGACATTTCTCTCACTATTCATGCGTTTCATACAAATTCCATTGTGTTCCCTCCCACTCTTCCTTTCTTGATCTTCCCCCATCTTCTGCTGCCAGACATTACGTTTACACTCACGTCATATACTACTTATAAGTAGCTCGCACCCCACTACTACTATGGGATTAGAGATGATAATTCGATCTATCTCTCTGTGTGCAAATTTCGTGTGGTATGGCAACTTGAACACTGATGTACGTAGTATGTACAAAGTTCTATGTTGTAGCTAACTGACTAATTGTCACATAAAATGAGTCAGTCAGTGAGATGCAACGTAGAACTTCGTACGTAAGTACATCAGTTCATGTTACCATACCACATTCAATTCAAATCCAATAGTAGTAGAGGTAGTAAAGTTATTAGCAGTAGTTGAAGAGGTTAGGACTAGATATTATTCAAAAAGTATGATTCAGTGAGAAAAGTTTAGAAAGTCAAAAAACTAGAGGTGTTGAAGAATCCAGAAGATTAGGATTTGAGAGAACACAAAGAATAAATGCACCTGCACCATTGCGAACGATTTTGAGCCATGTCATTCAAGGTCTCTAACCATCGATTATTATCATCTCGCGGACCCCAACCAGGTGGTAGCCTAACATCTACCAACATGACTCAGTTCACTTGTCAATGACTTCATGGATTTCTGCTATGTTTTGGTTTGGCCACCCCTAACTTTCTTCCAACCTACTACTCCTACACCACAAAACAAAGCTCATCGAGGCAGTCAGTGGTATAGAGGCATACACGCAACACATATCCCAACAACCACCTCAATTGATAAAGTTTCACCCACTTCATCTATATATATATATATATATATATACATCACATAAAATAAAATGTGAATACAACTTAACTCTAATTTGATAGACTTTTAACTTTTTTTTATTTTCAATCAATCAATATCAACTTACTTCATTTGCTATTTGTACAATACGTCGAAGAATAAAATGTGGTTGTTTTCGTTTGGAAAATTTTAACGGTTTCAATGACGATTTCATCAAATTGTCATCAATCAGTTTATTATCTTTTTTATACATTGACCAATTTACACCATGTGATGATGATGCGGCAGTATTCCAACTAGACTGACTGCTGTTGTTGTTGTTGCTGTTATGATCATCTTTGAATCGATTTACAGCGGCAGCAGTAGAAGCAGGAGGAGGATAAGTTGAATAATGAGATCGTTGCAATGTTGACATTGATGAAGATGTCGATGTGAATGTTGATGAACTGGCAGTGGAACTGATTGGTAACAATGCACGATTCCATACAGTAGCTTTTGCTGTAAGAATAGCTATACATTTAGCTTCATCATATGAATGATAAGTTGATGAAGAGGATAAAGTTGGATAATTTGTTTTTGTTGAGAAATTTTTACGACCATTATGATGATGATGATGATTACTATTCTCGGTTTGGAATGATGATGAAGGTGTTGTTGTTGACGGTAAAGAATGATCATTTGGGATATTATCAAATAATCTAGTACAAAGTGGTCTCTACAAAAAAAATCAACAATTGAAATAAAAAGTAATAATTATATATTAGCGTACAATCAATCAATCGATTAGTAAATATGTAGTGCCACTACCAAGTGTGTTGGAGAGATTAAAACAGATTCCAGTGGGGGAGGAAATCAAGAAGAAGCGGTGGAGTTGGTGGATAGGACACACACATTGACGAAAGCAGCCAACTGCGTCACAAGGCAAGCACTCACTTGGAACTCTCAAGAACAACGGAAAAGAGAAAGGCCAAGGAACACATTACACTGAGAAATGGAGACAGACATGAAAAGAATGAACAAAAATTGGACAGAACTGGAAAGGGAAGACTCAGGACAGGGTAGACAGGAGAATACTGGCTGGTGGCCTATGCTCCATCGGGGGTGACAGGCGTAAGTAAGTAAGTCAAATAAGTCCTACTGACTGACTTTTCAGGGCGACGGTGTTGTTAACAAAGTTGAGGAGACAAAACGTGAACTCCCGGTAGGAGCTTGGACCTTATTGGTGAGTAAGGACGATCCCATCTAGGGAAACACATGGGCTCCACACCCCTAGGGAACACATGACGTATGGATGATTTATTGGTGACCTTCTATCATGGGACTGTATCTTCTGATATTGTTCCTTTGCCTTATCAATTAGATTTGTAAGTGAAAATCTCAAGGAGCGGCCACCGAAGTAAACCACCTGCTCAGGCACCTGGATAGTATGTGTGTTCTTCCTCTTGCTTCCGGAGTTTAATTAGCATTGGGACAATTTTTTAAGCATAGAATAGTAGTTTCCTGTTCCTTGTTGTGTATCGGTTGTTTTAAAATTCGTCTACATGTATTGACTGGTGTTAGTACATAACAACAAGCATAAAGCCATCAACTAACATTGTGGGTTAGAATGAACAAAGTGATATTTATCTATGTATCGATTACACACAACTGATCACCTCATACCTCAACCATCTCCGGATAATTAGGTTTTATAAATAAATAAAATATACACATCAAAAATACATGAAGCGTTTAATTAGTTTCAGATCATATCCAACAACATTTAAGGGTCACATCACAAAATGTTAGTTATTGGTTAAGCTCATTTTGAAAAATCAATAAGTAGACTGTTTGAGTTGAGAAAAAAAAACACGAAACATATACAATCCTTTTGTAATTTCCCAACTATTGATTTAAACTGTCCAGTCAGTCAGTCAGATGCAAACGTAGAACATCGTACGTAAGTACATCAGTTCATGTGGCCATATCAACATTAGCACAGAAAGAAATGGAATTGTCAATTCAAATCCACGTCATTCATTGTCTCTAACCATCGATTTATTATCCATCTCGCGGACCCCAACCAAGTAGTCGACAACTACTGACATGCCTCAGTCCACAATTGTCAGTAAATTCATGGATTTCCTGCCATGTTTTGGTCTGGTCCGCCCCTAGCTTTCTTCCAACCTATTCCTACACTACAAAACAAAAGCTCGTCGAGGCAGTCGGTGGTTGGGCATACGCACCCACATGTCCCAAACCACCTCAACTGATGAAGTTTCAGCACTTCATCTATTGATTGTGCCATCCTTACCTAGCACCCGATTCCTAATAACAGTGTTGCTTAACTCGGGTGTCCTTAGGATATGCGAGCAATGCTTCGAAAGACATCTATTGATCGAAAACCAATAACCGGACGAATATCTTCTACTCTCACTGGCCATGTTTCACAGCCATACAGTAAGACGAGCGAACTACGCACAGTACACTCGTTCTTTAGTCAGCAAACGGATATCTCGCCTACGCCATAGGTGACGCAGGTTGGCAAAAGCTAATCGAGCCTTCTGTATCCGTGTTGAGATTTCGTCAGTCACCAGGCCATCAGCACTGACAAGACTACCCAGATACGTGAAGCGGTCTACATGTTCGACTATTTCACTCCCTATCACTAGTTCAGGTGCCGATGCAACCCAATCTTGAAGCAACATTTTGCATTTCGAGGGTGAGAACCGCATCCCGAACATGCTTGCATTGTTGCTTAGGGTGGTCAGAAGACTGCATTATCTCATCGGCTTATTCTAGGTCAGTAAGTGGTTTTCCTGGTAGAAAGTCGACTCCTGAAAATTCGGAGCCCCCTTCTGGGATTACTGTCGGTCCCAAGCCTGGATAAAGGGGGTTTTGGCATGAGGTTAGCGACTGCATCCCGTACAAAATTACCAGGCTAAAAAACAGCAACCAGAATAAATACTTCAAACCATTTAAACTCTGCCCTCGGAGTTAGAAGGTCTTCATTTAGAGGAGTTATGGCGTCTCATGATGAAAGTCGAGTTCCTTAGGAAGTCACGAGACCGATACTCCTTTTAAAAACCACAGTAACCATTAATATAGGTACATCTAAGGTTCATATAATGTGGGAGATCGGACGAACTATTCAAGTAGTTGTAGAAATAAAAAGATACAACCTGGTGTTGTTTGGCCCGACCGTAACTGCCACCTAAACGTGGTGGTCAGGCTTGCCCATCGTCATGACCCAACCGAGCTATATTGGCTGGAACATATGTTCCTGAAGGTTCTACCATGCCACGCAGGTCGATGAGACTAAAAGCAGCTTGATGATGATGGTGTTGCTTGCAATCAATCAAACATAATGGACGAAGGTTGGATAAAAAAGACTAGCTTCAGGAGAGATGTTGTCATACTCCAGCCATAAAGGAGAAATGATGTGCAAATAAGCACATAAAATACCCATAGGATGAGAGTTTCATGAACCCAGGATCATCAAAACCTTCTTCAAGACAAAGAAAGAGGTAGATTACTATGAGTATCATTCAGTGCTATGCACCTACCGACGATAACAATGAGGATGTTCAAGATCAATTCTATGAGAGGCCTACTATGCTCCACTGGGGGTTACAAGTATGAGTACATTCATTATCACAAATTGTAAGAATTTTGAAGGTGATTTAGACAGAGGTAACTACTGGGTTCGTCACTAAGTATGCTTGAGGCTATTACAAGTTTACCTTAGTCGATAAACGCGAACGAGACTTTTACCAGCGTCCAGGTAGGCTACATTGAATTCAAACGGTAAAACAGAAGTCTTGGTAAGCGTAAAAAGTATATTCTACAAATACCCAGCAATTACACAATACAATCAAGCACACAACTCTCGTTTATTTATGCATCATAGAAACGTCCTTGAGACAGTTAAGGAAATAGCACACTAAAATACACAGCAGCCAATCACACAGCCATGGATCTCCCTGGTGGTAATTGAAATCTCAAGGTCAACTGATCAGCCCATGCTGGCAAACGTAGAATCCAAAATAAGGCAGCTATGAAGTGAGTTTTCGGGATATAACATCCCCAACAATATCCTAACTTATTGTCAATTAAAGTGTTTTTTAGGGATTTAATTCATGAGTTTATGTCAAAAAAGACTGTTATGAGATGAGCAATGTTCCTCCATTTGAACATGATACTTGCTAACTTCCTCCTCCTTAAACTGACTACTACTTGAGCGAGAAGACGAGACAATGACGAAAGAGGAAGTCTATCTGACTACTGAATCATATGTACAAAAAATCATTTATACGTACATATATATATATATATATATCGATTCCTCTTCCTTAGAAAATAAATCCATTTATCGACCAATCATATGCATTCGTCCTTGAAGCCACTCCTGATTGGCTCTGTGTGTGCGTGTGTGTAAAATTCCATACATGTCATCATTAACGAAAAAAAGACCAACACCAACACAAGCAAACAAACCATAAAAACTTACACGTAACGGTGGTGCTGCTGCTTCTGGTACACCATCACCATCTAGTCGTGAACATTGTTGAAATCTTGAACCAATTGGTGTTTTATCTAAATCTAATAATTTATAATGATTATTAACATTTGTGGTTGTAGCATAACGACCAGCTGAACCTAATACAGCTGGTGGACTAGTTAAATGAAATGATAATTGATCTGCTTCACTTAATGCTTTTGTAGGTGTTTGTATCACAAATTGATGTTGGTGTTGATGTTGATGCTGGTGATGATGATGATTTTGTGATGGTTGTGACTGATGTTGTTGTTGTGGTTGTCGCTGTTGATGATGATGATGATGATCAGTGATGTTGTTCTGGTCATCATCATCATCATCATCATTATCAGCGATGAGAATATGCAATGAATCATGATGATTGGTTGATGATGACAATGAGGATTGATTGAGGATTAATGAAGGTGATGAGGTTAGTTTTGGTGAATGAAGAGAATTCGAAGAATTTATGAGATCATTTATAATAATACTATTGGATTCAAGTAATTTAGGCAATGAATTTGATTTGATCAACAATGATGCAGATGATAATGGTAGATTAGATTGAGATTTATCAGGACTAGGTAATAATGGAGTAGTTTTAATTAAATCCACCGGAGTTGATGTTGATAATAAAGAATTCTGTGAACTGTAGGGATAGTGAATGAGTGAGGGAAGGAAAGAGGGGGAGGTAAGAATTGGTAATATTCTAAGCATAATATGACATATAATCAATGAGACATACATACATACATACTGTTTGTGATACAATTCTACACACACATAGATCTTCTTTCGTGTGAAGGCTAAGATACTGTGCCTAGGTGGCAAATTTAAGGCGAGTGGGGCCACTTTTTCAATCTTTGATCTAAAGGTTTAGTCTATAAGACAGTGGAGCAACGTTAGGAGATGTAGTCCTAAGGTGAACAGCAACAAACAATCATAGGTTCATACATTATTTGTTCTATGAGTTTTCTGGAACACATGTGTGTCACTAGTTTGAAAACAGCGTTTCCCAACTCCCCGAGGCCCGGGTTTAAGTATTGGCCGGACATTCGCTGTGTACTCTCAACTTTACACGCAACACCCTGACAACAAGAAATCGGTAGGTAGGACATCCCTATTACTGGTCATTTGAGGCATTTAGAGTGGGAGAGAGAACTCTTTCCACATTTAGTCATACTAGAATATTTGAGAACTAATTCTGAGGTATATTCCCAATGTTTCGTGTAGCACTACGATCAATATGATTTAAACTCTTTTTTGCTTACCTCTACTCAATTTTTCGTGTAAAGTAACTTTCGTTTAAATTCTAGAAGCAGTTCGGAAGTTCCAGTAAGAACCTATGACTTAACGGAGTTCAACTACATTGAGTCCGACATTCATCAGTGATAACTGAATAGTCGAAGCGAATGCTGTATCCCTACTTAAATGGCTTAAATATCATGAAACAACTAACTAATCTTACAAGGTTTTTAATTAAAATTAACCCCATGAGTGTAAAAATTTACTTTCATCTAATTACTCCGAATTGAACATAGATAGCATACTTCACATTCAAACAGTCAACTATAACGTAGAACACTGTACGTATGTACATTAGTTCAAGCTGTTATAGCACCACGTTAGCATAGAGAGATGCAACTGTCAATCCGAATTTCCTAGTGGCAGATGTAGTAGAAGTATTAGCGGTAATGAAAAAGATTAGGGTTCCACGATATTATTCAAAGATTGCAATCCAATAAGATAAATTTGAGAGAGGACACAAAGAGTGGACGCATTTGCATTAATGCAAACGATTTTCATACTTTCTAACCATCGGCAACTATTGTCACGTGGACTTCAACCAGATTGGTAGTCTACACTTATCACAACAACAGGACCCAGTTTATTTGTCAATGAACTCATCAGTTTGTACCATGTGTTTTGGTTTGGTCGCCTACCTCTAGCTTTCTTCCAGCCTTATTTACTTACTTAATTACGCCTGTTAACCCCAATGGAGCATAGGCCGCCAACCAGTTTTCTCCAACCAACTCTGTCCTGGGCTTCCCTCTCCAGTTCTGTTCAACTTTTGTTCATTCTTCTTATATCTTTCTCTATTTCTCGGCGCAATGCGTTCCTTGGCCTTCCTCTTTTCCTTTTGCCTTGAGGGTTCCTAGTGAGGGCTTGTCTCGTGATGCAGTTCGATGCTTTTCGTAGTGTGTGTCCTATCCACTTCCATCGCTTCTTCCTGATTTCCTCCTCCACTGGAAGAATCTGGTTTGTTCTCTCCCACAGTACGTTGTTGCTAATGGTGTCTAGCCATCGAATCCGAAGTATTTTGCGTAGACAACTGTTCATAAATACCTGTATCTTATGGATGATGGCTTTGGTAGTTCTCCAAGTTTCCGCTTCATACAGTAGAACATTGTCTTGACATTTGTATTGAAAATCCTGATTTTGGTTTTGGTTGAAAGTTGTTTGGAGTTCCAGATATTTTTCAATTGTAGAAATGTAGCCCTTGCTTTGCCAATCCGTGCCCTCACATCTACATCGGATCCACCTTTCTCGTCGATGATCCTGCTTCCCAGATATGTAAAAAGGTGTCAACGTCCTGCTAAGGGCAATCACCGTCAAAGAGTGATTTGGTTTTTCTTCCAGCCTACTACTACTACACCCAAAACATAAAACATCACTCATCGAGGAGGCAATCGTTGGTTTGAGCCCCTACCACAGAGAATTTCGAATAAATCAATCAATCAATAAAACATAAAAATAATCATGAATACACCAAAAGTAATTTTTGATAATTTATTTACCTGATAGAAGTTGTTACAATGGAATAACTTAACGACTGTTGTGAATTACTTCCAACTGATGATGATAACTGCTGAGTACCACTATTCGATAAACCAGATTCATTAAACTATTAGATTTTTATTGAATGTACAAAGATCAAAAAATAAAGTTAATGATAATAGGTAAGCAGACGAGTATAGGTTAAAAGATTACGGATAAACATGCATAATAATAATGACAACAATAGTGAATAGATACTTTTATTTTAATGTGATGTGATGTGATGTAATAATGATGATGCCAGTCAGTCAGTCAGTCAATTATAACAAAGAACTTCGTACATGTATGTACGTCGGTTCTGGTTGCCATAATACCACATTAACACAGAGACGCAACTATCAGTTCAAATTTAAGAGTGATAGCGATAGTAGAATTATTAGCAGTAATGCAGAAGGTTAGGGAACGAAGATATTATTCAAGAAGTATGATTCAATAAGATGAGTTTAGTAAGAGAAAGATAGACACGATGAGGAATTAAGAAGATTAGAATTTCAAAGAACACAACGACTGGATGCACCTGCATCATTGCAAACGATTTTCAGCCATGTCATTCCAGGTCTCTAACCATGTTCGTCACTAGGTACGCTTGAAGCTATTACGAGTTGATAAACGCGAACGAGACAATCAACCAGCGTCCAAGTAGGCTACCTTGAATCCCAAACTGCGAAACAGAAGTCTTGGTAAGCGTAGAAAGTATATTCTACAAACACCCAGCAAGCACAATACAGTCAAGCACACAACTCTCGTTTATTTATACATCATAGAAACGTCCTTCGGACAGTCATAAAAATAGCACACTAAAATAGTACAGCAGCCAATCACAGCCATCGATTTTCCTGGTGGAAAATGAAATCTAAAGGTCAACTGATCAGCCCATGCTCGGAAACGTGAAATCCAAAATAAGGCATTTATCAAGCGAGTTCTGGGGATCTAACATCCCCAACACGGACCCCAACCAGGTAGTCGACACCTAACAACATGGCTCAGTTCACTTGTCAGTGACTTTATGTATTTGTGCCATTGATTTGGTCTGGCCGCCCCGTAACTTTCTTTCAACCTACTCCTCCTACACCACAAAACATCCCTCATCGAGGTAGACGGTGGTTAGGCATTCGTAACATAGGTCCCAATAACCTCAACTGATGAAGTTTCAATACTTCAATCAGTCAGTCAGTTAGATGCAACGTAGAACTTCGTACGTAACTACATCAGTTCATGTTGCCATACCACATCAGCACAGAGATTCAGTTGTCGATTCAAATCTAATAGTAGTAGAGGTGGTAAACGTATTAGAAGTAATCGGAGATGTTAGGATTAGAAGATATTATTCGGTGAGATAAGTTTAGAAAGTCAAAACTAAAGGTGTTGAGGAATCCAGAAGATTAAGATTTGAGAGAACACAGAGAATAAATGCACCGTCGCCATTGCAAACGATTTTGAGCCATGTCATTCAGGCTGTCTAACCATCGATTACTAACATCTCGTGGACCCCAACCAAGTAGCCGACAACTACCGACAGGACTCAGTCCACTTGTCTCAATACTTCAATACTGATGATGCAACAACAACTTAATGTTTAGATTCTATTCACTTTTCACAAAACATATCAAGGGTTCGAATCAAATTCGACACACTGTGACACTCTATTGATTTTAGTCTTGACATCGCTGTTAGCTCATCTCTTTACACACATAAATTGTACGGTTTAAAGATGACGAAGATGATGAAGAATCTGACAAGGAAGCTGGATTAGTGTTGGTCTTAGGGACCTGGAAGCATGACCACAGAGCCCAAGGGACAACTGCTTGAAGCCGGTCACGCACAGCCCTTTTATGGGAAGTTTGTAATGTTAGCTCCACTCTTTAAGAGGCTTTACCGCCAGAGACGGAAATCCGTGAGGTAAGGTGAGGTGTAACATTATTAGGGTCGACCTTTTCTAACTCCTTCCTTCCTTGTGAGAAGGAAACATCGATGCAGATACTGTTTGTCCGAGGGAAACACCTTACTGTTGTCATACCTCTCTACAGTCAGCAGCAGTACGACTTCGTCCTCAGATCTTGAGTAGCTGCTTTTAGTCTCATCGTTCTCCAATCGACCTGCCTGGCATGGTAGAACCTTCAGGAACATATATTCCAACCAATATAGCTTGGTTGAGTGATCACGATAGGCAAGCCCGACCACTACCACGTTAAGGTAGGAGCTACAGTCGGATTATTATTATTAGTAGTATCACTGACTTTTGTATTCTGAAAGAACAATTGTCAAGTTAGACAACACAAAGGTAATTAAGTGAAATAAATCATTCTTAGAACTTCATCAGTTGTTACATATGCAGGTAAGTAATACTGAAATAAGGTGTACAAAGTTGGAATAGTACATTGGTTGATAACATCGTGAATCATCATAACCTGCGATGGCGAGTATACCACCAGTCAACACCAATCTTGTTATGTTACGACAGTTAGTAGAGGAGTAAGTCGAATGAAGAGGAGAGAGAAAATCAAATCATGATATGCTATTAATTCCTGAAATCGTCAAATATTATTTTAAGCTGTGCGTTATGAAGTGAAAGTCAGTCAGTCAGTTACAACGTAGAACTTCGTACGTAATTACATCAGTTCACGTTGCCATAGAACGTTAGCACAGAGACACAACTGTCAAATCAAATCTCATAGTGATAGCAATAGTAGAAGTATTAACAGTTATGGAGAAGATTAGGGAGCGAAGATATAAATCGAGAAGTATAATTCGGTGAGATAAATTTGGAAAGAGAAAGATAGAGGACATGAGTAATCCAGAAGATTAGAATTTCATAGAACACAACGTGTGGATGCACTTGCGCCATTGCAAACGATTTTGAGACATGTCATTCAAGGTCTCTGACAATCGTTGACTTTCGTCTTGCGGACCCCAACTAGGTAAACATACATCTACCAACATGACTCAGTCCACTTGTCAGTGATTTCATGGATTTCTGTCATGTTTTGGTCTGGCCGCCCCGATATGAGGTGAAAAACATCAATAGTGATTTTTTCCAAACTATACAGCTTGAGATCAATGCCAATATCACAGATTGTTACGGTTAGTCCATAAAGGTTTGATACTATCCTCACTGATTTCTTCACATCTTCACATTATTGGGTTTATTGACAATGAAGTAACAAGACCATGAGTTTGAACAGGGTGTGTTGTGTGTGTTTTGACTTATCAAGAACTGAAACCAAATGAATTGCTTGTATCAACACTATTTATTAACAACCACAAATTCTTCAGTTGAAAGTCTAAACCTCCCATCTGATAAATTGATCAACACACAATGTGTGTGTGTGTAAGCTGACGTAATTCGAATAATCTCTCTGTATCTAATCTAAAAAAGAGATTTGTACTTTAACATGTTTCCCACTTCTATGCAACATCTACCTCTCTCTCTCACGCACACACACAGAGACTATAATTTGAGCGACATTGTTAAGGTCACCATGTGTTATATATATAACACTTTGTCAATCATCAATGGTACAAAGTTATTTTTCTTGATTAGGTCAGAAAATTTATTGACAAATTTAACGATTGATTACGCAATCTCATTGATATGGAGAGAGAGAGAGAGGGAAAAACATGTTTTTACAAAACAATTTAAGAAACAACAAGAGTTCGATTCACTGTGCTAATTGTCTTCAAAGTGTGTGTGTGTGTGATTGAGTTATTCATGATGAATACTACCAATACATTCACAAAGATACATGATAGTTGAGTATAATAGAGTTGTAAACAGTCCGAATTACAAATAAACCGCTTCTCGTCGATGAGGAAACAGTATTTTCACATGAAATCAGTCAGTCAGGCAGCAACAACACAGAACTTCGTACGTACGAATGTACATCAGTGTTCAAGTTACCATACTACATTACCACAGAGACGCGATCGTCACATCAAATCCCATAGTAGTAGTAAAGGTAGTAGAAGTATTAGAGGTAATCGGAGATTCCCGACCGTAGCTGCTACCTTGACGTGGTGGTGGGGCTTGACTATCGTGATGACCCAACCGAGCTATATTCGCTGGAACATATGTTCCTGAAGGTTCTACCATGCCACGCAGGTCGACTGGAGAACGATCAGACTAAAAGCAGCTACCCAAGGTCTGAGAACGAAGTCATACTGCTGACTGCTGAGGGGTGTGACAGCAGTAAGTTGTTTCCCTCGGACAACCAGCATCTACAGCAATGCTGCATTCTCACAAGGAAGGAAGGGTTAGAAAAGGTCGACCCTGAAAATGTCAAACCTCACCCTACCTCACGGATTTCCGTCTCCGGCAGTAAGGGCTGCCCACTAAGGGCTTTCAAGAGCGGAGCTAACACTCAAAAAACCCTTCACAAAAAGGCCGTGCGTGACCGGCCTCAAGCAGTTGTCCCTTGGGCTCTGCGGTCATGCACCCAGGTTTCTAAGACCAACACTAATCCATCTTCCTTTTCAGGTCCCTCAAGAAACAACGTTCCACGGTGTGGGCACCCGGGAAGTGACAACCGCCCTCATACCCGTACCAGCACACGAGACCAAACTGGTAAAAATCAAATCCTTCCTACACCTCCTAGTACCTCTCTTATCTTATCAATCGGAGAGATTAGGGTTCGAAAATGTTATTCAAGAAATATAATTCAGTAAGATAAATTTAGAAAGAGAAAGATAGAGGAGATGACGAATTCAGAAGATTAGAATTTCATAGAACACAACGTGTGGATGAATCTATGCCATTGCGAACGATTTCGATCTATGTCATTCAAGGTCTCTAATCATTGGTGACTTTCGTCTCACGGACCCCAACTAGGTAGCCTACATCAACCAACATGACTCAGTCCACTAGTCAGTGACTTCATGGATTTGTGTCATGTTTTGGTATGGCCGCCCCTAGCTTTCTTCCAACCTACTCTACTCCTACACCATAAAACATAGCTCGTCGAGGCATTCGGTGGTTAGCCATACGCAACACATATCCCAACCACCTTATCTGATCAAGTTTCACTACTTCATCTATTGATCTGCTATCCTTACCTAGTACTCGTTTCTTAAAGACAGAATTGCTTACTCAGTTGTCCCACGATATACGAGCAATAATGCTTTTTAAACATCTATGATCGAATACTAGTAACCTTGCGAACATTTTCTACTCTTAACGGCCATGTAAACATTCATTTTAATACTGTAATTACAAATTATCAAGTAGATAGATAAGTTGTACACCTATTATCATGATTACATAACACATACTAGTCACTTGGCTTGGTGACTGTTAACTGATTAGACAAACAAGATTGAAGTAATCACATGGGTGGGGCTTAACCTGATTACATCTTTCTTTCTCTCCTTATCCGAATACAAAAATTGAATTGGTGCTCCATTTTAAACAGCAGCAGCAGTAGCATAGACTAGAGGCCAAATGATGTGTGACACTCCTACCCGACCTAAGCTGCTACCTTGATGTGATGGTCGGGCTTGCCTATCGTGATGACCCAACCGAGCTATACTGGCTGGAACACATGTTCCTGCAGGTCCTACCATGCCAGGCTGGTCGACTGGAGAACGATCAGACTAAAAGCAGCTACTCAAGGTCTCAGGGCGAAGTCGTACTGCTCACTGCAGAGGGGTGTGACAGCAGTAAGGTGTTTCCATCGGATAACCAGCGATGCTGCCTTCTCACAAGGGACGAAGGGTTAGAAAAGGTCGACCCTGAAAATGTCAAACCTCACCCTATCTCACGGATTTCCGTCTCCTTGGGTAAGGGTGCCCACTAAGGGCCTTTAAGAACGGAGCTAATCCTCTAAATACCTTTCATAAAAAGCCGTGCATGACCGGCCTCAAGCAGTTGTCCCTTGGGCTCTGCGGTCACGCACCAACACTAATCCATCTTCCTTTTCAGGTCCCTCAAGAAACAACCTTCCACGGTGTGGGCAGCCGGGAAGTGATAACCGCCCTCATACCCGTCACTGCACACGAGACCCTGACTGTGACACTCCTCATTGTTATCAATCTATTTGCATTACACGGGTTGTTGTGAAGATTGTTGTTAAGTAGTTACACATTTTTTGAAACCATGAATCGATCAATGAATGTTAGACCACAACCATTAGAAATCTGGAAGAAGCACTGAAAGACGGCCGTTCTGGTCCTGGTATGGGACTCGTCAATCTATTTGACTGATTTATTCAAAATCAATAATTATGTACAATTTGAAATGTCACTTACACCTGAATCATGATGATGAGTTGATTGAGTTAGACGAATTGTCCAATTTCCATTTGTTGTAGACTCATTATTATTATTATTACTATTATTGTTATTATTATTCGTTGACTTTAATGAAGATAATGGAATGACATAAGTTGGTCGAGCATTGTTTGTGCCGCTGTTGTTGGTGTTGATGTTGTTGTTATTGTGAGTACTACTATTATTCTTCGAGCTATTCGACCAAGATAATCTGGAAAGAAAATGAGACAGGAAAAACAAAGTACAACTTATGAATATTGTTAATATGATAAGGTTGTTAACTGAAGCCTGAAGCCCCTCTGTGGGGCTTGAGGTTGGCAATCCCATCCCGCAAAAAAAAACGTTAGAAAACGAGGTTGTTGGAAATTGGCGAGTTTCAAAAAATAAAAATCACGAGCTGATTTAGGCTAGGAATTTACTCAGTCAGATGCAACGTAGAACTTCGTACATGTACGTACATCAGTTCATGTTGCCATACCATATCAGCACAGAGATATAATTGTCTATTCAAATCCAACAGTAGTAGAGGTAGTACAAGTATTAGCAGTAATTAGAGAGATTAGAGTTTGAAGATATAATTCAAGAAGTATAAGTCAGTGAGGTAAATTTAGAAAGAGAAAGACAGAGATGATGAGGAATTCAGAGGATTAGGATTTGAGAGAACAAAAAGAATAAATGCACCAGCGCCATTGCGAACGATTCTGAGCCATGTCATTCACGGTTTCTAACCATCGAAATTTACTGGAGATCTAGAAACACTAGACCATGATTTTGTCTTAGTGTAGAATTTCTCAGAAGTGCTCATTGCTACAACTTAATGTCAAAACTAAGAATCTTTGGTCTTGTGGATGAACACGCCCAACTTCCAGACACCACTAAGCCACGATACAATAGAGACTAAAGATCCCCTGGGTTTGATTCTCAGATGCAGAGTTCAACACTAGAATGAAATGGTCATATAGTGTTCCTAGATTGGTTTATGATTTCGATATGTATGTTAAGAGATTATGTAAATAAAACTACAACTGAACAATTGTACAATAATAACATTTCCAGCTAAACGCTATAACTGGTCGACAGATAGACTTGATCAACATAGAGACTGGGACAGATATTCATTTGCCCAAGTTGCTAATATCATGTCAGAACGAGATAGAAATAATCTAGTAGCAATTGTTTGAAAAGACAGATTCTGTGTACAGAGGGATACTGGGGATTTAAAAGCTCGAGAAAATAAAGAGTAGTTGTGTTTGTATCATTATGAACTATTCTGAGCCATGTCATCCAAATTTTCTAATCACTGGTCATAGTTCATGTCGTCTAAATCTACCAACATGGTTCATATTGACAGTCAATGACTACATGGACTAATGTCACGTTTCGATTTGGTTTCTCTTCTAAATTTCTATCAACCTGCTTTTGTAATGGCACATATCACTCGTCGAGGTAGACGATGGTTATGTCATATGTAACACATGTCACAACTAACTCAATTGATATATAACTATAAAAACCAATTAACTGGATCCATAATGATAAACGACTGAACGAATTTTTTTTGACTATTATCTGACTTTTAGTAACAATAAGACTCCATGTACAGTCTTAACTCCACCTGGAGCCCGTCAGGGGCTACTGTCGGTCCCAAGCCAAGACAAAGGAGGAGGGTTATGCCAGGAGGCCAAGGAACACATTACGTCAAGAAATGGAGAAAGACATAAGAATGAACAAAAATTGAACAGAACTGGAAAGGGAAGCCCAAGACACAGTTGGTTGTAGAATACTGGTCGGACCCCAACCACGTAGCCTACATCTACCAACATGACTCAGTCCACTTGTCAGTGACTTCATGGATTTCTGCCATGTTTTGGTTTGACCGCCTCTAGCTTTCACCCAACCTACTCCTACACCACAAAACATCTCTCATCGAGGCAGTTGGTGGTTAGACATTCGTAACATACGTCACAATTACGTCAACTGATGAATTTTCAATACTTCGTCTATTAATCTGCCATCCTTACCTAGAACTCGTTTCCTAACGACAACATTGCTTACTCGGGTGTCTCAGGATACACGACCAATGATCGAATACTAGTAACCTACGAATATCTTCTACTCTGACAGGTCATGTTTCGCATCCATACAGGAGAACGGAGCGAACTACTGCACAGTACACTCGTCCTTTAGTCAGCAAATGGATATCTAGCCTACGCCATAAACGACGTAAATTGGCGAAAGCCAATCGAGCCTTCCGTATTCGTGCTGAGATATTTTTAAGACTAGGAGCTTACAAATTGCCAGTGAACCACACTTTTGATACAACCTGATTTATTCTCAGTCAAATAGGTGAAGCATGGTTAAAACTGATAGCCAAACCAGCTGAGTGCTTTATTCCGAAAGCCATGAATTAGTTTCAAAGTTATAGACTTTAACACATTAAAATCATCAATCAATCATTGTTAGAGCACCAATAGAAACCTGAAAGAACTCAAAGGCCGTTTGATCCTGGTATAGGATTCGTCAGCAATGAACATCCACGAGTCCTGCATCTCGCAGGATTCAAACTGAGAACCTTTCGTCTTACGCACGAACGCCTAAGACAGACAAAGAGAGATACAACGCAGAACTTCGTACATGTACGTACATCAGTTCAGGTTGCCATACCGCACTAGCACACAGACGCAACTGTCAGTTCAAATCCCGACCGAAGCCGCTACCTTGACGTGGTGGTCGGGCTTGACTATCGTCGTGACCCAACCGAGTTATATTGGTTGGAACTTATGTTCCTGAAGGTTCTACCATGCCAGGCAGGTCGATTGGAGAACGATGAGACTAAAAGCAGCTACTCAAGGTCTCGGGGCGAAGTTGTACTGCTGACTGTGATGGAGGGGTGTGACAGCAGTAAGGTGTTTCCCTCGGACAACCAGCATCTGCATCGATGCTGCCTTCTCACAAGTAAGGAAGGGTTAGAAAAGGTCGACCTTAAAAATGTCACCCTTCACCCTATCTCACGGATTTCCGTCTCGAGAGGTAAGGGCTGCCCACTAAGGGCCATTAAGAGCGGAGCTAATACTCAAAAAACCCTTCATAAAAAGGCCGTGCGTGACCGGCCTCAAGCAGTTGTCCCCTGGACTCTGCGGTCACGCTCCTAGGTCTCTAAGACCAACACTAATCCACCATCCTTTTCAGGTTCCTCTCGAAACAACCTCCCACGGTGTGGGCAGCCGGGAAGTGACAACCGCCCTCATACCCGTAACAGCACACGAGACCGAATTGGTCAAAATCAAATCCTTTCTACACCCCCTAATATCTCTCTTATCTCCACGACTAACTCTTCTCACATTCCTTTATCACAGCGCACAGCTAATGCAAACCCCGTTCTAAACTACACGTATGAACGACATGGCTCAAAATCGTTTGCAATGGCGCAAGTGCATCCATTCATTGTGCTCTCTCTAATCCTAATCTTCTGGAATCGTCAGCACCTCTACCTTTGTCTTTCTAACCTTATCTCACTGAATTATACTTCTTGAATAATATCTTCAAACCCCTTACTCTTCTTCATTACCATTAATACCTCTACTATTTTTATCACTATGGGATTTGGTTTGGCATTCAGGGGTTGACCTTCTACCAGGAAAGTCGCTTACTGATCTACAATATGCCGATGACATTTCTATTCGGTGAAGACGCTCACAAAATGCGGCGTCTTCTGACTACCCGAAGCAACAATGCGAGCATGTTCGGGATGCGGTTTTCCCCCTCGAATTGCAAAATGTTGCTTCAAGACTGGGTTGCATTGGCACCTAACTAGTGATAGGGAGTGAAGTAGTCGAGCGTGTTGATCACTTCACTTATCTGGGGAATCTCATCAGTGCTGACGGCCTGGTGACTGACGAAATCTCAGCTCGGATACAGAAAGCTCGATTGGCTTTTGCGAACCTGCGTCACTTATGGCGTAGGCGTGATATCCGTTCGCTAACCAAAGGGCGGGTGTACTGCGCAGCAGTTCGTTCCGTTCTCTTATATGGCTGTGAAACATGGCCGTTAAGAGTAGAAGATGTTCGTAGGTTACTAGTCTTCGATCATAGATGTTTAAGAAGCATTGCTCGTATACCGTGGGACAGCCGAGTAAGCAATGCTGTCGTTAGGAAACGAATACTAGGTAAGGATGGCAGATCAATAGATGAAGTGGTGAAACTTCATCAGTTGAGGTGTTTGGGACATGTGTTACGTATGCCTAACCACCGACTGCCTCGACGAGCTATGTTTTGTGGTGTAGGAGCAGGTTGGAAGAAAGTTGGGGGCGGCCAAACCAAAACATGGCAGAAATCCATGAAGTCACTGACAAGTGGACTGAGTCATGTTGGTAGATGTAGACTACCTGGTTGGGGTCCGTGAGACGAAAGTTACCAATGGTTAGAGACCTTGAAGAACGACATGGCTCAAAATCGTTTGCAATGACGCAAGTATATCCATTCGTTGTGCTCTCTCAAATCCTAATCTTCTGGATTCTGGATTCTAACCTTATTTCACTTAATTATTATACTACTTGAATAATATCTTCAAACCCTAGTCTTCTTCTTCATTACCATTAATATCTCTACTATCTTTATCACTATGGGATTTGATTTGACATTTGCGTCTCTGTGCTATTGTGGTGTGGCAACCTGAACTTTTGTGCATACGTACGAAGTTCTACGTTGCAATTGACTGACTTAAGTCCCAATCACGACTTAACTCGTGATGCAGATAGACAATTGAAAGCGTTCAAGATGAGTAGTGTACATGAATTTGTGAGGATCTCTCGGGTTAAATTTATCATATACAAGTAACATGAAAAGACTATTTTTTTAAAAAAACTAAAACAAATAAACTTACAATGAATTACGAAATAGCAGACTAGATAAAGGACGATTTTCTTGATTTGATATAGGCCAATTATATTGTAGAATAATTTTTTCATATCGTTTTCTAACATCAATAGCAGTACGTTTTTGTTTGCATAAACCACTACCACCAGCATGATTGTTGGTAGTTGTTGTTAAACGATTTGCTATTAATTCCCAATTCGATCCATAAGTTAAATATAATTGAAATAAAGTTGAATCTTCTTCATTAGTCCATGTTGATGAATTTATTAATTGTGTATTAGGTATAGTTTGTGGTAAAACATGATGATTATGATTATTATTATGTTGGATTAAAGTTGTATAAGTTTTACTAGATTTGAACATTTGTGGACGTAAATGTTTTAAATATCTATTTGAATAAAAATAAAGGTGATTGTTTGAGTTGAGTAAAAATGTAAAGAAAGGAAATCATGGTTTTAAATGAAAAATGTAAAACTTCTCACATATATTAAAGTATATAGAAGAATTTTATAAGCAGACTAAAGTAGAATAATCATGATATACTTGAATTGTTTCAGTCAGTTATTTAGCTAAAACATAGAACTTTGTACGTATGTATATCAGTTTAAGTTGCTATATCACATTAGCACAGAGATACAATTGTCGATATGAATCCCATAGAGGTAGAGGTAGTAGAAGTATAAGCAGTAATCGGAAAGATGGTACAAATCCATGAAGTCATTGACAAGTGGACTGAGTCATATCGATAGTTGTCGACTATCTGGTTGGGGTCCGCAAGATGATAATAATCGATGGTTAGAGACCTTGAATGACATGGCTCAAAAAATCGTTTGTAATGGCGCCGGTGCATTTATTCTTTGTGTTCTCTAAAATCTTCATCTTCTGTATTCTTCAACATCTCTAGTTTTTTGACTTTCTAAACTTATCTCATTGAATCCTACTTCTTGAATAATATTTTCTAATCCTAACCTCTCCGATTACTTCTAATACCCTTACTACCTCTTCTACTACTATTGGATTTGAATTGACAATTGTATCTTTGTGCTAATTTGGTGGTATGGTTGCTACATGAACTGATGTACTTACCTGCGAAGTTCTACGTTGCATCTGACTGAATCGGAAAGATTAATGTTCGACGATATTATTCAAGGGGTGTAATCCAGTGAAATAATCTCTAACAACCAGTCAGGATTCTCTCGAGAACCCCAAACAAGTAGTCTACACCTACCAATATGGCTCAATCCAATTTTCAATGACTTGGTGGATTTGTGGCATGTTTTGGTCTGGTCAACCTTAGCTTTCTTTCACCCTACCCCTACATCAGATAATATCGTTCATCAAGGCAGTCGGTGGTTAGGCATACGTAACACATATCCCAACCACCTCAACTGATGGAGTTTCAATACTTCATCAACCGATTCGACATCCTTACCTAGTTTCCTTTTTCAAAAAACCAACATTGTTTACTCGACTCTCCCAGGATATACGAGTAATGCTTCAAAGACACCTATGGTCGAATACTAGTAACCAACGAATATCCTCTACTCTTACTGGTCATGTTTCACACTCATAAAGTAGAATGGAGCCAACTGCTGCTCAGTAGACTCGTCCTTCGGTTAGCGAGTGGATATCTCGCTTACACCATAAGTGATGCAAGTCGGCAAAATCCAATCAAGCCTTCTTTATCCGTGCTGAGAAGGCTCGACTGGCTTTTGGTAACGTGAACTGTTTAATTTAAAACGTCCATGTTAGTTTGATCTATTGTAGATATATATATTAATTGTAACGTACACAGAATAGATTCATTAAGAATAGAACTCATGTATGAGACTAAAGCAGATATAAGGTATATTTAGATTTTGGGTTGTACATATCTGTGTTCTATCCTACTACAGTGCCGACCGAAGCTGCTACCTTGACGTGGTGGTCGGGCTTGACTATCGTGATCACCCAACCGAGCTATATTGGCTGGAACCTATGTTCCTGAAGGTTCTACCATGCCAGGCAGGTCGATTGGAGAACGATGAGACTAAAAGCAACTACTCAAGGTCTCAGGGCGAAGTCGTACTGCTGCTAACTGTAGAGAGGTATGACAACAGTAAGGTGTTTCCCTCGGACAACCAGCATCTGCAGCGATGCTGCCTTCTCACAAGGAAGGAATGGGTTAGAAAAGGCCGACCCTAAAAATGTCACACCTCACCTTACCTCACGGATTCCCATCTCCGGCGGTAAGGGTTCCCACTAAGGGCCTTCAAGAGCGGAGCTAACACTCAAAAAACTTCTAATAAAAAGGCCGTGCGTGACCGGCCTCAAGCAGTTGTCTCTTGGGCTCGGCGGTCACGCTCCCGGGTGTCCAAGACCAACACTAATCTTCCTTCCTTTTCAGGTTCCTCAAGAAACAACTTTCCACGGTATGGGCAGCCGGAAAGTGACAACCGCCCTCATAACCGTACCAGCACACGAGACCAAATAGTTCAAAATCAAATCCTTCCTACTACAGTAACCGATTTGAACGAAGAGTTAAGACCGAAATTAAAGGAATAAAAGGGGAGCTTTTAAATGCACGTATTACGAAGTGATCCACACAAAAAACCTTTGACTAAAATGATTAATTTAAGCAACTCTGAATCGATACTTAAATGAATGAAGTATTATGTTGATGCCTCAATTTGTACAAGATTTTTCTCTAAGAAAACTTATTTATGGTGAACAATGGTTAAAATTATTTTGGCAACTAAATACTTTTAGCCGAGGCTAATTGATTGTGATTTGGATGTTAGTTGTTCCAAATTCAACGCTTAAGTAGCATTGGTACTGATTGATGCTAAGACTTGTGCACTTATAAGTTTCGAAACCCGTACTTCAGTGGATATTAATGACTAATGACAAATAGAAGCTTATCCTGATCATGAGAAACAACATAACTAATGAAATGAAGAGGTTATCCTGTGATTAGAATCATTCATTGACTTGTACAAACAAGATCTATAAATAAAAATGATGTGCTAAGAAGTAATCGCATTCATTTGTGATAAAGTTGAAATTTAAAAACATAACCAAACGATTAAAAATAATGTGATGAGAAGTCATAGAGCTATACAACTTTACAGAAAGTAAATTTATGAAATTCAGAACGATAAACATGTCATAATGTAAATTTATTTTATGAAGATTTCTTTTTTCCAGCTAAAAATGACGAAAAATAAAGCGAACACAACAATTTACATGATTTTATTTACCTTTCGGAACATTGAAAAGCTGATTTGCCAAGTTTTTTACCAATAAGATTCCAACGATTTTCACCTAGTCGTGAAACATGATCAAGTAGTTTACAATCTTCTAAGTTAGTCCAACATTCAGAAGAAGAATCTGCCTTAAATCGTTTTTTAGGTGTTTCATGAAAACTAGTTGTAAAGCTAGTTAAATCATTTCTAATTGTAGTATGTGTGTTATTATCTTTCCAATTAACACGATGCGACAATTCATCTAACATAACTAAAAATGATAAAAAAAGAACTTGAATTAGTTTATACTAGAAAAAACAGTTGAAAAATATCTGGAATTCCAAACAACTTTCAACCAACATCGAAATCAAGATTTTCAATACAACAAATGTCAAGACAGTAGTGTTCTACTGTATGTAGCGGAGACTTGCAGAACTACCAAAGCCATCATCCAGAAGATACAAGTATTTATGCACAGTTGTCTACGCAAAATACTTCGGATTCGTTGGTCAGACACCATCAGCAACAACGTACTGTGGGAGAGAACAAACCAGACTCTTCCAGTGGAGGAGGAAGTCAGGAAGAAGCGGTGGAAGTGAATTGGACACACACTGAGAAAAGCACCTAACTGCGTCACGAGACAAGCCCTCACATGGAACCCTCAAGGTAAAAGGAAAAGAGGAAGGCCAAAGAATACATTACGCCGAGAAATAGAGAAAGATATGAGAAGAATGAACAAACATTGGACAGAACTGGAGAGGGAAGCCCAGGACAGACAGAGTTGGTTGGAGAAAACTGGTGGGCGGCCTATGCTCCTCTATTGGGGGTAACAGGCGTAAGTAAGTAAGTAAGAAAAAACAATACCACTAGCTACCAAAATTCACTATAAGAATAAGAAATATATATATGCGAGTATGTGTAAACTTAAGTTTAGAGACTTAACACGTTACAAATGCTGCCAATTAAGCGAAGACATAATTGTGTCGATATATGAGTTGGTGGTTTAATGATTAAGATATACCTTTCAACATAAATTTGTACACCGACGATGAGACTTGTGTCAATTAACTTTAAGTGTATAGAATCAAGCAATTAAACCTTTCCGCTGTTTTGTTATGTTCTAAAAATCCAGTATTGAAGGTAAATGATCACAATCATTGTAATTTATTACTTTTATATTGACTTAACCAAATTATATCATGATTGATAATCTGAAGCAAGATTTATTTGCACATCAAACTATGGTTTAGTTGTTTAGGTATTCAAATCCAACCTACTAGGTCATAGATAAATAGATTTACTTTATTACCCAGCTTATTATTTCCACCTAACAATTCTCACCTCTATATTACTCAGTCAGTTGTTATGTCTAAGCAAGACTTTGAATTAATCTATCGAATGTGTGTGTGTAATTTGCTTATATCAGATACTCGTATAAGTCCATTTTTATTCCTATGAAGTATTATAAAGCTGACTATTGTACAACATACATTTCATCTGTTTTACAAGTGTTACTTGGGTAAAAGTTATACAAAGTTTTCTAATCTATAGTGAAATTTTATCAGAAACCAGTTTAACAGTGATAATATTGTTTTTGATGAAAGTTTAACTGATTTATCGTCTATAGATAGATTAAACGTAGAACCAGACGAGCATGTAAGTAAAATTGTTGCACTTTGAAGAGAAACGTATCCCAAATGTGTAAAAGTCTTTACTTTGTGAATATTTTACATAGACAACTGTTATCTGAGTTTTCTACAAAACAACAGGTTATTCTTTGAGAAACTAAATAACGTAACAATCATCACTAAGGTCAAACCATGCAAAACTAGGTAAAAACGAGAAGCGTGGGAGAAAAAGGATCAAAGACACAATTCGGGTAAGGCAATTCGGGTAACAATGTGTAGTGAACCCTAATCTAGCCAACAGTGTAAGAGTCTTGATCAGACCGGTGAAGTTCATGAGTAGGTCTTTTACTGAATAATATTTCCAGCATGACTGTCAGACAACGAAGTTGCCTGCAACCTTTAAACTAAGAAATACAAGTCAAGCACTAATTAGTATGTCTGGAAACATTTTTAAAAGCGAGTATGACAATAGTCTGATATGATGCGTGATGGATTTTCGCTGGTTGTTTCTCATGATTCATATTTAATGTGAATACTCGGTGGTGCCCATTGGATAGGGATATGAATATTTTTCAATGACAAGTACTTTGATCTTTGCTACGTACTGTTAGCCGCAAAATTAACGTCTTACCTACAACAACATTCATACTTCCAATAAGACAAATAGCATATTGGTGGACTTTAAAATCGACACAAAGCGAAGTAGCATTTACAAGCTGAGAGAGAGTGGACATTCGACGTTTGGATTCTCGTCAGCCTAAATCGTAAACTACTGGGAAAATGTGTCAGAGCATATAGAGCCAACACCTTCCACTAATGTAATAAGGAGGAACATGGAGTTCCAGTACTATTTACTGAGTTCAGTTCAGGCCAACTGGAATTTATTTACTGATAAAGCCTAAACATTAATGGTAATTCGAAGAGTTTAAATTGTTCCCAAAATGCATGTTAACACGTTTCATCAAAAGGTTAAAATAAGGGTAAGATACGTAGGCCAAAGAGAACCCCTGTCAGGATTATTGTTTGTGCTAACTTATTGCGACACAACAGCAGAAGATGGCAGACAACTGACTGGGTAGGTCAGTTATAAATTACCTTTAGATGTGTTTTAATCCTCCTGTGAATATGAAGCAGATTACGTGAACATATACACCTTCATCTTCGTTCCCTATGAAGGGATGGAGTGCATCTGTGTACAGTAGCTGGTTTTTAGAAAATCAGTCAGTACTAAATAAGATTCAAGATACTTATTCAACTCAATATAGCATATATAATGTCATCATAGAAATGCCTTTGTTTTACCCCCACTTTACACTTCTTGTTGGAAGTAGCGACGATTTTGATGCAAACAAACAAACATCGATCCTCACTAGACTTCCCCATTTGGTCTTCTTAATTGAGAAAAAATAGTGTGATCACTTTGTACCGGAGAAAAGATGTGTCTTTCTTGATATGTTTCGATTTGTTGTCTAATATCAAAGCTACTAGTAAGTATTGTAAGCACAGGTCACTGGAAGACAATTTGCAATATTTTTTCACGAGCTAATATAAACCAGTTAGCTTATTCGCATTCGCTAAATGTTTTTTGGTGACCACATTTTCCTTCCCTGATATGCAACCAATTAAAAAGTCATAATCCTGCAAGTTAGTGTCCATCATGTTAATTTCGCACGGAGGCCTTTCTCTGATACGATCTCCATTTATCTATTACCCATAAGATTGCTGAACATTCGCTTTCGATGGATGAGTATTACTGTTTGTTAGGCGTTGAAACACAGCTTATATATTCTACAACCTCACTGTTCCATTCAAACGCCACCACGTCACTGGAGTTAGTCACAATAAAGGCTTTGGCAGAGATGGGCGATTTTGGTCTTATCTGTTTGTCATCACACAGCTTCTTGATCAAATCAGACATACTTTCCGCCTCTTCCGTCCATATAAAATGTTTAGTCACCTAGACGTTAATCGAATGGTGCTGCAGTATTGTTGAGGTTCTTCATGCAGCACCTATAAAAAGCTACCCTACTCATAAACTACTACAACTTCATTTCGAGTTAGGTGCTTTTATATTGCACCCTGACAAGGTCTTAGCTATGTAGGATTTCTACTTGTTATTATGTAGGCCTAACTCCCTGATTAGCTTCAGAACCACCTTCAATTGTCTTTTATAACCTTTCCCTTTTCGGCTACACACCACATTCTCCACATTCTCCAGATTTCGAATTTATAAGATCATAAGCTACTGACTCTGGCACACACTAGATGCTATCTGAAATCTGTTGCTTCCTTTCACTGACGGTTGCTAATGTGCTGATCGGAGGTCTAGGAGCGCAAATACCTCGGTTTGCTGTAAACGATCTCGGATTTCCGCCATTGTCGGTATTGTATATGGTCTCAGCTCGGTTATGCTGTTTAGTTTTGGGAAGTTAACGTGAAATCTATACTCCTCATTCAACTTCACAAGAACAGGTTAACTCAATAATCCCGTCGCTCAATGTTTCTTCCACCTGACAATTTACTTCCGTTTCTAGATAAACTGTGAACCAAAACGTATCATTTTCGATCTTCATGTAACTTTCCATGGAAGCATGGGAAAGTATGAAAACCTGGATTGAAAGCCAGCGATAAACACAGGGATCCAATTTGAGCGTACTCAGAAACTTGGGAATTCGAACAAGTTTCCTTAACCATTATGAAGGAAAGACTCCTGAACCTTCTCTCACTTTACAAGATGAAAATGATAGGGCCCTTTTGGAAGAAACCTCAAAGTTTCTTTATTAAACCTCTGACTGTTATATGGCTTACCCGAAGGAAGTATAACAAACACGCGAACCATCCACGACTCCGTGTAGAGTTCACTAGCCATGCCAATCATTTGCTAAAATCTGAAGGGGAGCTTAGGATCCTGACGGACATACCACATTCGGAGGGCAGTCTCATCCCCAATCACCCAAAGGAGGCTCGCGAGACGTTAATTCATCCAAGAAATATAAGTGTGCAAGATGTATCAGAAAATACGGGTTCCTATGATGCAGTCACCGATACTTAAGAGTATAAGTTCATAAAACAGTCCTCGATGCACAAGAATATGCCATCCCTACAAGTTTTGCCGGTAGTCAAGAAAGAGGTAGAGTTTCTATAGACCTCGAATAATAGAGACAACCTGTCCTTCTGCCCAAATAGTGGCTGCCACTTTTGAGAAATTTCGTGTCAGTTGAATGCAGTTGTCAACTGGATTTCACATGCAACCGAACAGACCATATAATGCAGGAATAAGCAAGAAAGCAAATTTGAGCTAGTTATGCCACTTGCAAGCTAAAGAATACAATAAAACGTAGAAGAGACAGGGACCATGCATTTGGAAAATACTGTCTAGGTAACTTGCCTGTCCTTTCACACGAAGCTTATTCTCACAGACAGAGTGAAGACTCTAATGTATTTCGAAATGAAAGTCTCGACTGATTGGATTCGAATGTCACAATCGTATGAAATAAACTGAGTGGGTTGCGTGAGTAAGCAACGCCAACAATACTCGGCATATCTGAAACATGGGTATCTTTGCTTGTTCCGTTGCTACAGGTAAACTCAATTGGGGGGAAGGATGGATTTTCACTTACGACCTTGTTTGGTAGCACATCAAGTTTACTGATATTATCTAATACCACAAATGTTTAGATGAATTCCCTAACAAAAAAGCAACCGCCGACACTGGGTGCGACAACTTTATGTTAGAGGGATTGTCGTGCTCTACTCGTAGTCGGTACACTCATCCAAATTTCAGGAGACTTCAACCTTAGGAACTTCAACTTACCTTGCTACACATACAATGAAGCTGATAACTCTATTGAATATTGCTTACCCAGTGAGTTGCTGACTTTCCATTTTTAAAGTATTCCGACTCTTCAATGAGATTTAAGAGCCAATCGGACTTCATCACGCTTGAGTCGCATTTCCATGAATGAAAATTTCCAGATTGATAACCTGTCGGTCCTTGTTCTTCCAGATAAGGCGACGAAACCGTCATAAGCTCAAATTTCATTGGCAGAACTTAGCATAAGAACATTAAACGGCAGGATTTATGAGCTTTGAAACTCAGTCTACCGCAAGTGAACCTTCAACTTGATGTGGATGCTCACCAGAATTTCGTACTGTACAGAATCTTACTTACTACGAACCAGTCCATCCTAAAACACACACTCATCCGTAATCGTACTCCCTGAATGCCAAATCTTAAAAGGTACCACTGGGCAGGATATAAACGAACTAGTGAGAACAGCATGTATGGACAGTTCAAACATTGAAGGAAATGATGTAAACTATTGGCAACATCGCTTAGTTGTTGTTCTCACACTCGCTACATGAAGACATGGTCCCAAACAGTTGGAAGCTGTGGTGTATCACACCGATTTTCAAAGTAAGATGACTCAATGAGCCTTCAAAATACTGTCATATAGCATTTTTTTCAATACCATCACAAGTTATGAAGTCCTTGTTATATGACTGTCTCTGTGACCATTTACCATTCATAAACCTCTTTTCTCTCCAGCAGCAAACTATTAGGAAAGGTCACTCTTGTATATCCAATCTGCTGACCGCGATGGACAGATGGGCAACCATACTCGATAGCAAAAAGAAGGTTGATATTATATATTTTAACGTATCAAAAGCTTTCAATAAGATCAATCATATGCTCCATCAATAAGCTTTAAATGTTAGGTATCAAGCAGTCTTTAACAAACCGGTTAGCTTCATCTATAAATAACCGGATTTTTATGGTCAGTGTCAACGCTGATTTTTCTCAGGCTACATAATTTCCTAGTGGAATCCCTCAAGGTTCAGTACTAGGAATTTTCCTCCTCTTAATTTATATAAATGGCCTTCCTCGACGAGTATCGTTTGAGTTCTCACTATGCATTGACGATATATAAACTTGAAACGTAGTCTTCAGCTAAAATGATAATCAGGCTCTTTCGGAAGACGTGACAACTCCAGAAGTAAAGTGAATAACAACAGGCTCACTTTTAATACAACAAAGTACAAACCAAACCACCTGCGGACTGTGTATAAAACCTAGGTAACTCTCCTCTACAGGTATCCGATGGTGAAGTAGTCCTGGACGTCTTGTTACCTTATAATCTAAAGTTTTGCACTGATCGTACCAAAGATGCCTTTCACGCAAAGCTTTCAGCACTAACAATGAAGCGCATGTTTAGTTATTTTTGTAGTAGAAAGTTCCACTTACTCTTTAACGGTTTTGAGCATAGGGTTATTATGTTTTCTCCCTTCCTTCAGCACGACACGAATACTCTAGAACGTATCCAAAGGGGAACACTGAAATCAGTTCGCGGATCAGAGTTTAAACCTTATGGAGAGCGCCTAAAGTCGCCTGATGACTCGAAGCATTCTAAACACTCCTGAGTATCCCCTGAAATACTTACTTTTACTCAGTACTAACTCCAGCCTAAGAGGAAGTACCCAAAAGTTTCAGGACAGATGTAACAGAATGGACTAAAGACACAACTTGGACTCTTGACTATTAGTCAAATTCTGGCGTTCGTTATCGACCGAGGTAGCACAGGCGACATCTCTGGAGCTGATCAAGAAGATGCTCAGGACAGTATTTCATCAGTAGGGTTGAATATACCTAACTGCCTTCCTGGAGGCATCGTCATTCTATTACTACTATATATGAAAGCCCACTAAGCGGAAGCTTGTTCTATTCCACCTGCAACCATTAGAATTATTTGAGCACTTCAGCGCTCCAAACAATGCCGATTCATATAATATTCTTTTCATTCGCAACAGCTTTCAGTACGGTACTACAGTGAATCCACTGTTATGAAGAGAAACATTCATTGTTATAACCAACTGTACAAGTGATTGTTTTACTTGACTTCCTCGGTTATAACACTTTGTTCTCTCAAACTTTCCGTTTGTGTCGCTACTATTTTGGCTTCACTGTCTCTGTAATCTCGCCCTTCTTTTCTGGCACGATCTCGGTATTATTTCGATACCACGAAACCGCCAGCAAATATATTCTTTAGCATAGATTTGCTTATCTTCTCTATGACAGGCTTGTAATCTATATGTCGTAGTGATCATCGTCTATTTCGACTCGATCGCCACAACAACAATTCATGTACTTCTGATTGCGAAGGCTACGAAGACGGGCTGTGGTGACCCACTTTTACCTCGGCTCAGAAACTACCTCAAGAACAGAATGTCTCGTATCAAGGTAAGTACAGTGTGTACAAGCTGGCGAGTCTCAACATTAGGCGTTCCACAGGATACCATATTTGTTCAACACCCCTTCCTGAAATTTATTGACGACTTATTGGATGAAATCACCTCAGCCACAATACTCTATGCAGATGACGCGAAGTGCAGGAGATCCATAAAAAGCTATCTGGATTCATAAGAACTTCAAAAGGACATCACAACAGTGGAGGATCGGGCAATGGACAAATTTAACCAGTCCAAGTGTCGCATCGTGAACATTCTGTCCTATACGACACAAACAACTCACATCCTCCTAAAGTTTCCTCAGAACACGATCTTGAACTACTAACCAAAAAAAGGCTAAACACCAGATCAAAATACAAAAGGGTGCAGCCAAGCCTGGTGCAACTCTTCACTTGATGCAAAGATTACCTACTTCGGTCACTACACGATTTTGCTTGACTCCCATTAAAACATATCATCAGCCACACCTGGAAGTTCACAGCTTCCTCGCACCTCCTCTCCTTAAACGAGACATAAATCTCCTGAACCGAGTGCAGAGATGAGCAGCTTTTCCACGTCAACCACATCTTCGACTTATGCTTGTAAGCATGCATTGGTTTCACTTTGTGCCTCAATAAGCGTCGGGGTTGAAGTATAAAGCTTACGAAGACAGACTAAGACACTTGGGATTAGTTTCTCAGCGAAGAATCAGAATTGAGATGATGGGGGCATACAACATTTAAGCACTCTGAATCATCCTAAAATAAGCAACATGCTAAGACATCACTGACACGCTTTCCGAGGTAACCCTCAAAAAGAAGCGAACACCCAGGTTCATATACACATTTTCTTGTTTGTTGTTGCAACTCGGAATGCTTTATCAGCCATTGTGACCACAGCCTTTTCAGTGGATAGTTTGCAGGAGAGACTTAGGAAACATATACATTCGGATTATGATCTCCCTCTCGGAGCAGATGTGCCTGATAAATGTCTCGACGCTTGCTAGTAGTTAGAACTATCATTTCTTGAGATCAATTACTCATTCAGTCTCGCGTATTATCTCTCTTTGCTATTCTTTGCTTGATCTTTTGTCCTTTTGCACAATCTTCACTACCAATTAAGTAACTTAAATGATTGTTCATATAGTTCTGAAATTTTACACTTTGATAACCATTAGAATTTTCGCCTTATTATTCTCCGTATCGTCACCAACTGATCTTTATCCCAGTTAAGTGATCTCTGCTGTTATCCATAAATCCTGCTACAGTGAAAAGAAAGCACTCAAACCACGGAACATACAAATTCTGAAATAACTGAATAGGGTTAGTGCAACTAAGTGGCTGGACTATCATTTATTAGACATTACCAAATAACTGATACCCTACCGAAAGAACAATAATCGATCGCAAAGAAGTCCATTGGCTTATACTAACTTAGGGAAAAAATAGTACATTTCAGATATTGATTATTGGGATATCAACCTTGATATTCGCAAATTTATGAAAACTACAGGTTGTAATATCGCTTCAATTTTTGATGCGAAATTCCCCGGAAAGCTAGATGATACTCTAATAAATAGACTATGCAGATCAGTAGTATGTCAGCATGAATATCACACGGAGTTTTGGTCTACAGTACCTATAAGTGAATGGGATCTTGTATCGAAACATGCCTGTCGGTGGGATATTGACTATGATTGTACTACTGAATTGGATGTCATTCTGAAAGCCGCCGTGTCACTTTCTTTTCGCTACGGTTTAATTTTTGGAAATGAGGACGCTGGACCTCATAAGATTGTGTTATATGCTCTCAATAAATCTGATAAAAATATTGACATTACTCTCATTGAAACCTTAGCTAATTGTTTAAAAAGCATCAAATCTCTTACAGATATCAATGTTGTATCTTGGATCAAGTCACCGAAAGTTCTAACACTACTTCAAAATCTCTCCAGAGAATCAAATGTCCACGTTTTCAAGAATACCATTATTGTATGTGCATTTATTTTCCTTCATTTTGTAGATTCCAAACTCGATATAAACCAAAAGCCTTTAGATGAATGTTTTCAATTGTCAGCTTTTGGTATAGAAGTCTTGCTTGTCATTGCAGAATTGACTCAGAAGTTTAATATAGAATTTGACACTTTACAAATATCGGAAAAATTTCAATTCACTGTGACTAATTTTAATTTATTCCCCTCAGAGCTACAAGCTAAATTGTTATTCTTGGTTTTCACTCGTATTGTAAGCTCACCATCATCAAACAATGATTGGGTTTCATTTTTAAAGTCTTTACAAAATTTACCTGAACTGTGTGCTTCAGTAATCAATCTCTATTTAAAATCTAATAAGAAAATGTGTGACGAAATGTGGAAATTTATTATAAATGAATGGTCCCTGTCTTTGTATAGATGTTTAGAAAATGCTGAAGCTGCTAATGTACTCCGTATTATAAACCCAGTCTGTCTGTATTCAGATGCTTCACTTCATATAGAATCTGGAAGTAATTTATTGAAGAAAATCTTAACTATCCTCATGAAAAATCCAAATTCCTCTGAAGTAAATGATGTACAAAAGTATCATACAAGATTGTGGGTCTTGTCAAGAATGTTTATTCACAGTTCGCCACCATCGTCAATAGTTTCATTGTCAGATGTAACTGATGTAGTAGATTATTTGATATTTCATTGTAATTCTACCATTTCCTATCCATCGATTTCTAAACTGGATGCCGCATTCAACTTTTTCAAAGAGATTTGTCTTGTATTCTGGAATTCAGAACAATCAACTATCGGTAAACTGATGCTGAAACTCTTTGATTCAATTTTAACCATTGATAATTCTAGATTATTCTCGGTGTTTTCATTTCATTTTATTCATCTTATCCAAAAATTATCTTGTAAATATAATTGTTCAGAAGTATACAGTACATTTTGGATTTGCTTTTTCAAACTACTCTGCAAAATACATGATCACTTATTAATTCAATCTTCTTCTATCTCATCATTTGATGTTTTTAACAATGAAGGATTATTGGAAATAGCTGTTACAATTTTAAAAATTCTTAATCATGAAACATTCATATCATTATGGACAAATGAATGTAAATTATTATTTTCAATGTTTATTGATAATCTCATGTCGGAATATGGTATTGGTAGTTTTATGAATGATGTTTGTTTTCGTGGACTTTCCCTGTCAACTTTTATTATCTTCATAGTCTGTGATCATCTCACTGGTCCTGATTCAAATGATCAAATTTGTTCATCTGGCTGGATTTGGAAAATGTATAAGCATCTTATAAATTTTGATTTAATGGAGTTGACAGAATCAAATGATATTTCTCAAATATTATGGAATAATATCAAATATCTTGAAAAAGTATGTTTATTGAAGTTTCTTCCTACTGTGATTATTTTGTAGGCTAATTGGTCAAAAAGAAGTCAAAACAGTATCAATAGAGTTAGTCATTTTTTGTGTTAGGTTGGTAATCCATTAAAAAGTATTTAAAACTAGTGATAGGTAGTGATCCTAGATCCCTAGTGATCCTAGAAATAACCTTATCCTTGTGTGAATTTTCAGGAGTAGACCTTTTACCAGGTGGCTCGCTTATTAACATAGAATATGCCGATGACATAGTCCTACTTGGTGAAGATGCTGACATAATGCAGAGTCTTCTGACTACCCTAAGCAATAATGCAAGCCTGTTCGGGATGCGGTTTTCCCCCTGGAAATGCAAAATGTTGCTTCAAAACTGGGTCGCATCGGCACCTGAATTAGTGATAGGCAGTGAAGTAGTCGAACGTGTTGACCGCTTCACTTATCTGGGGAGTCTCGTCAGTGCCGATGGCCTGGTGTGTGACGAAATCTCAGCATGGATACAGAAGGCTCGATTGGCTTTTTTGCCAACCTGTGTCACTTATGGCACTGGCGAGATATCCGTCTGCTGACTAAAGTACGAGTTTACTGTGCAGTAGTTCGCTCCGTCTTACTTTATGGCTGTGAAACATGGCCAGTGAGAGTAGAATATGTTCGTAGGTTAGTAGTATACGATCATAGATGTTTAAGAAGCATTGCTCGTATATCGTGGGACAACCGAGTAAGCAATGCTGTCGTTAGGAAACGAGTACTAGGTAAGGATGGCAGATCAATAGATGAAGTAATGAAACTTCATCAGTTGAAGTGGTTGGGACATGTGTTGCGTATGCCGAACCACCGACTGCCTCGATGAGCTATATTTTGTGGTGTAGGAGTAGGTTGGAAGAAAGCTAGGGGCGGTCAGACCAAAACATGGCAGAAATCTATGAAGTCACTGACAATTGGACTGAGTCATGTCGGTAGTTGTCGACCACCTGGTTGGGGTCCGCGAGATGATCGAAATCGATGGTTAGAGACCTTAAATGACATGGCTCAAAATCGTTCGCAATGGCGCTGGTGCATTTATTCTCTAAAATCCAAATCTTCTTGATTCTTCAACACCTCTACTTTTGACTTTCTAAACTTTTCTCACTGAATTATATTCCTTGAATAATATCTTCTAATCCTAACCTCTCCAACTACTGCTAATACCCCTACTACGTCTACTACTATTAGATTTGAATTGACAGTTGCGTCTCTGTGCTGATGTGGTATGACAACATGAACTGATATACTTACGTACGATGTTATACGTTGCATCCGACTGACTGACTGAAATCGACCATGTGTTTAATTGATTAATAATGATGTTCAACCAATAATGATAATACAAAGATATGTAAGTAAACCTACTGGAGACAATTACATTTAACTAAAAAAAATGGTTGGATATAACATTAGTCAAATTGGTTCATTTTATAGTTAAAATCACTAGTGGGTGATTGCGCCCTTATGAGGTTGACTACAGTAAGGGATTGAATATTTCATTTGTATACATAGTTTCAACTTTTTAATATGAATCTCTATTGCTTCTACTGTTTGAACCGGTTTTGACAAAATATTAATGACTCGATAACTTATTACGAAATAATTATCTATACTGGTGCTATGTGATAAAGGAATGTGAGAAGAGTTAGTCGTGGAGATGAGAGAGGTACTAGGGGATGTAGGAAGGATTTGATTTCGACCAATTCGGTCTCTCGTGCTGGTACGGGTATGAGGGCAGTTGTCACTTCCCGGCTGCCCACACCGTGGAAGGCTGTTTCTTGAGGGACCTGAAAAGGAAGGCAGATTAGTGTTGGTCTTAGAGACCTGGGTGTGTGACCGCAGAGCCCAAGGGACAACTGCTTGAGGCCGGTCACGCACGGCCTTTTTATGAGAAGTTTTTTGAGTATTAGCTCCGCTCTTAATGGCCCTTAGTGGGCAGCCCTTACCTCTCGAGACGGAAATCCGTGAGATAGGGTGAGGTGTGACATTTTTAAAGTCGACCTTTTCTAACCCTTCCTTCCTTGTGAGAGGGCAGCATCGCTGCAGTTGCTGGTTGTCCGAGGGAAACACCTTACTGCTGTCACACCCCTATGCAGTGAGCAGTACGACATCGTCCTCAGATCTTGAGTAGCTGTTTTTAGTTTCATCGTTCTCCAATCGACCTGTTTGGCATGGTAGAACCTTCAGGAACATATGTTCCATCCAATATATCTCGGTTGGATCATCACAATAGTCAAGCCTGATCACCACGTCAATTCTAAGCTTCTGCATTCCTCATAATCTCTACCTTTCTCCGTCTAAATTTATCTTACTGAATTATACTTCACGAATCATATCTTCACTCCCTAATCTTCTCCATTACTGCTAATAATTCTACTATCACTATCACTCTTGGATTTGAACTGATAGTTCCGTCTCTGTGCTGATGTGGTATGGCGACCTGAACTGATGTACTTATGTACGAAGTTCTGCGTTGTATCTGTCTGTCTGTCTGTCTGTCTATACTGGTGCTATTATCAGTTTTTGTACTAAACAACGCGGCATTCAGTCATTCACAGTATTCACTAACTCTTTTCTTAGCCATACTGGAAGATATTCATGAACACAAAACTATGGACTCTTAGAACTTTGACCAATATAATTTACCTACTCCAATTAAGCTTACATATATTGTTAGTTTCTGTATTTATGGGACAAGACAATTTATTCGTAAAACTCATCCAGGTAAAATTATTCTAAACTCTTATTTCCCGACCGTAGCTGCTACCTTGACGTGTTAGTGGTCGGGCTTGACTATCATCATGAGCTAACCGAGCCATATACTGGCTGAAACATGTGTTCCATGCCAGGCAGGTCGATTGGAGAACGATGAGACTAAAAGCAGCTACTCAAGGTCTGAGGGCGAACTCGTACTGCTGACTGCAGAGGGGTGTGACATCAGTAAGGTGTTTCCCTCGGACAACCAGCATCTGCAGTGATGCTGCCTTCTCACGAGGAAGGAAGGGTTAGAAAAGGTTGACCCTAAAAATGTCACTTAGACGCCTTACTAGTGCTCGTGAAGCGCAGACTAGAGAAAACCAGGCTGGTTTTCGACCTGGACGTGGCTGCATAGACCACATCTTCACACTACGACAGGTCCTGTAACACAGACACACATTTAGGCGTCCTGCAATAGTTGTGTTCCTGGACCTAAAAGCGGTGTTCGACTCAGTGGATCTTGAGGTTCTGTGGTAGTGTCTATCATCGAAAGGTGTACCAAAGAAGTACATTAACCTCATACAAGCCCTTTACTCGAACACCATTGGTCGAGTGAGAGATTATGGCGAACTGTCACCGAAATCCTTTACTTCAAGTGGTGTCCGTCAGGGATGTCCACTTTCTCCATTATTGTTTAATTTTATCATAGACATGCTCCTAGAACTATCCTTATCCTGAATTTTCTGAAGTTTCAGGAGTAGACCTTTTACCAGGTGACTCGCTTATCGACTTAGAATATACCAATGGCATAGTCCTACTTGGTGAAGACGCTGACAAAATGCAGAGTCTTCTGACCACCCTAAGCAACAATGCAAGCATTTTCGGGATGCGGTTTTCCCCCTCGAAATGCAAATTGTTGCTTCAAGATTGGGTTGCATCGGCGCCTGAACTAGTGATAGGCAGTGAAGTAGTCGAACGTGTTGACCGCTTCACTTATCTGGGGAGTCTCATCAGTGTTGATGGCCTGGTGACTGACGAAATCTCAGCACGAATACAGAAGGCTCGATTGGCTTTTGCCAACCTGCGTCACTTATGGCACAGGCGAGGTATCCCTATGCTGATTAAAGGACTAGTGTACTGCGCAGTAGTTCGTTCCGTCTTACTTTATGGCTGTGAGACATGGCCAGTGAGAGTAGAGCACATTTTTAGGTTACTAGTATTCGATCATAGATGTCTTAGAAGCATTGCTCGTATATCCTAGGACACCCGAGTGAGCAACGCTGTTATTAGGAAACGGGTGCTAAGTAAGAATGGCAGATCAATAATAATAATAATAATCTGATATTCCGTAAATATTGTTCAATGTTTTTTTTTCTCTAATTGTTGTTATTATTTACTCAAGGAATTTGAAAAATATCCACTCGATCTATGGAAACAAATTTTATTATCAATTAAAGCGAAATGGACAAAAAATCTTGGTGAAAATTATTTATTATCAATGTCAACTGAGTCGATTTTAAATTATTGTCCTAATTGTAAAGAGAATATTCAAGAATTATTAAGTGATATAATTATTTCAAGTACTAGTAATATGATTGCTGATTGTACAGAAGGTTGATTTTATTTCCGTATATATATATATATTGGAAAAGTATTTTGTATGTATATATATATTAAGAAATATACTTTCAAGGTATTCTTCTATATGTGTGTTCTGTTATTTGTCTAATTGTTGTAACGCTGCTACGTATAGCTCTTCAGTCCTAACGGCGTCCAATTCAAATATCCTTATACGACCCAAAAGGCTGTTTTCCAAATCTCCTAGAAATCAGAACGTAACACCGTGGAAAGAAATTGTTTATTCGGTCGAATTCAGAAGAAGAGGCAGGCAGGGGAAACGGAATTATTAAGTCTTTCAGATGGTGCGTATTTATACACTAAGGTCGAATAAGAAAGAGCATCAACGTCTATGACATTGACAGTTTAGGCCGACCAATAAGAGGCAACATTGAAGTATTTGACCTTGACGGTTAGAACGACCATAATTTCGGCCAATAGAAATCGACCAATAGGATTGTACTTCTAAAAATAGTATTCTTAGGATATCTGGTGAATATCCTAACACTAATGGAAAAGAAAAGAGTTTTAACGGGTTATTAAATTGGATAAATTAAGTCCAGTCTATGTTTGGTAGGTGACAATTATCCGCCGTATGGTGTACAAAGATCATAGATTGATGGGTGCTGACTTAGTCGTCTAGAGGTTAAGAGTTTGTGCACAAAATCAAAGGTCCTAGGTTCGATTCCCGTGCGCAGTGGTCATGGATAAGTACTGCTGAGGAGTTTCATACTAACTTAGTGTTAAAGTGACGCTATGTAACTGTTCGAAATCCTACCGATGTCCAAATTCAGATATTACGATACGACCCCAAATACTGACCCCAAATCTCCAATATCAGTCAGTCAGCAACGTAGAACTTTGTACGTAAGTACATCAGTCCATGTTGCCATACCACTAAATTAGCACAGAGATATAATTGTCAATTCAAATACAATAGTAAAAGAGGTAGTAAAGGTATTAGCAGTAATCGGAGAGGTTAGGATTAGAAGATATTATTCAAGAAGTATGATTCAATGAGAAAAGTTTAGAAAGACAAAACTAGAGGTGTTGAAGGATCCAGAAGATTAGGATTTGAGAGAACACAGAATAAATGCACCAGCGCCATTGCGAACGGTTTTGAGTCATGTCATTCATCATCTCGCGGACCCCAACCAGGTAGTCGACAACTACCGACATGACTCAGTCTACTCGTCAATGACGTCATGAATTCCTGCCATGTTTTGGTCTGGCCGCCCCTAGCTTTCTTGCAACCTACTGCTATACTACAAAACAAAGCTCGTTGAGGCAATCGGTGGTTCGGCATACGCAAGACATGTCCCAACCACCTCAACTGATGAAGTTTCAATACTTCATCTATTGATCTGCCATTCTTACCTAGCACTCGTGTCCTAATAACAGTGTTGCTCACTTGGCTGTCTCCAGTATATCAGAACACAACACCGTCAGATGAAGTTGTTTATGGGGTGGAGTACAGAAGAAATGAAGGAAGGAATAAATGGAGAGAATAGTTTACAGATAATGCATATTTATGCAGTTAGGTCGAATAAGAAACAACATAGAAGTTTGTGACTTTGATATTTAGGTCGTCCAATGGGAAACATCATTTGAAGTGACATTGACAGATAGTACGAACAATGGTAGATAACATTGAAGTATGTGACTTTGACAGTTGGGACGACCATGATATTAACTAATAGGAATCGACCAATAGAATTAGACTTCCAAAAATACTTCTCTTAGGATATTTGATGAATATCCTAACATGTAGTGAACGAAGACGTCAAGAATAAAAGGTATAGTAATGTTTTTAAAGAAGGAACAGTTTACTAACAAAATATGTACAACTTATGTTCAGGATTCCTTTTGCAAAACGGGCAGATTATTAACTATTTTCCCTTACATGTCTACTGGTTTTCAAAATACTTTGATAGCGCCATATTTTGGGATAGGATACTTTTCTCTCCAGTAGTAGCTTCTGAATGATACTCCTATGTATAGTACTTATAATTTACGTTGTGAGCAGTATCCAACGCACTTGGACTAGACTACCTTCCAGGTTTCTAATAATGGTCTAGTTAAAATCAGTTCATAGTCTCAACTATTGAAATAGAATATATCAATCGGCTTTCATAGATTAAAGTTTCAGCACAATTATCCATTAATCCTAGTCCATCACAACTCATATTTTCATAATGCGTGTCTGCGCACGCGTATGGGAAGAGAAAATTAACAAAAGATCATAAAATGACATGGTAAAGCAATGCGGTTGGGTTTCAAGATAGATCACAGTGACTGAGTTACACTTGTTCTCTGTTTCCCTCTAAATCCTGAGCTATTTAACAATAGGTTGATACTGTTACACAAACCCAAAACAAGAGTTTGAGTATTAAACTGATGTAGTATTATGATGTGTTTTGTACTCTATTTTACTTAGTCAGTCATTGTATTGTGTCTCATTCTAATCTGGCTACAATATTCTTTTAAATAATACAGTACTTGTTTCAATATGATGAGCGTAAACATTATTTGAAACCGCTGCGTATGTAGTGACTTCATTTTTATGAAAAAAAACACGTTTGACTACACAGCAGCATTCATTATTATAATCACTTGTACTAGTGAACGTATTATCGAATACTTGTTTATACGCAGTGACCTTTGTTCTTTGCCTACACATACTGACATTAAACTACGGTCACGTGGCTTCTTTCTCCGGTTGCCATCTTGCTTTCTCTGCTCTTTACTGTCGTTCATTCTCCGGCACCTTTCGTTATTTCTTCGATACCATGAAATCACCAGCAAGTACATCAATTTCATCTAGTTCATTCCGTCTTCTTCCTTCCTGAAAAAGATTTTTGATAACGTGCGAGACTTGCATTCAGTTCGTATATAAACGTGTTCATAATCCCACGACTCGAACATCTTTTACGTATAACTTCTTTTCCGATGACACCTGAAATGGTTTCTTCACAATACAAATGTATGAATAAATCATTCATGAGTAACAATGTTAATAATACCGTAGCATATAAGGTGGCTCACTTTTAGCGGTGACCGAGTCGAGATTGACTATGATCACCAATGAATACTAATTACGAACCCGTCAATGAGAAGATAAATAAATCCAGGGTAAAGAATATATTTGCTGGTGATTTCGTGGCGTCGAAAGAATACCGAAGTGAAGCCAAAAAACTGAGGCGAATTTACAGAGCTTGTAGAGTAAAAACTGGCAACAACTTGAACAGAAAGTTGGAGCGTAAACGTGTGTTATAAACAAAAATTACTGTTAAACAATCACTGGTACAATTGGTTATAATAATGAATGTTTTTAATAAACCAATCGGGTTCTCTTCATAAAAATGAGTTCATTACACACCAATATTTTTTGCGACTTTTGAAGATAAGTTTGAACATCGGTTGTCTTCCGTTTCCTCAACTGATAACCCTAGTACAAACTATTGGATTCAAGATTTTGTCACAGATGAGTTAGAAGTAACAAATACATCAGATCTTTGTGACATTTAGATTATGTTAAACTTAATCATGACAGAAATAGTGTAACTGTGACAATGCGGGACAAAAGAGAACTAATGAAACGCAGATAATGAGTGGCAAATGATTCCAAAATTCTTTTGGTTTCCCATTTTATTTGGTAAACAGTGAAAATGATTCTATAAACCTCTATATACTAATTGAAAACATTCACAAAGGTGATATTTTATAGGACTGGATCAGATTACTGAAGTTAATCAGCCTGGTATGACTGATAAATCAAAAATGATATTTTGTAACTCATGTAAGAAACTGAAAATCGCAAGTTACTATTGATGTTTTCAGTGGATAGCAAATGCGTTAATTATACAATGAGCATTTTATGTCGCGTTTAAATCTGATGTAATAATACAATACATTTACGTACTGTGTACTTTAAATCCGAGTTCTTGTTTGTATTTTGTTGGAGTTCTAAATATGTTGGTATGATTAGTATTTCGTTAGATTATTCCAAGTCCCAATCTTATTTCTATCGAAAAATGGATACAAATAACCTTAGGAAATCACCTATCAAGGCGACACAATAAGAAGTAGGTTATTTAGGATATTGTACTGCTTTATGTTTGTCATATGACGTCGAGGAAAACTGCTTCTCAGCCTATTTTATATATATCATGGTATGGAAGCTTGTAGTTTGTTAAAAAGGCGCCGTATGCTGATAACCCTATTTTACTTCCGTTTAACAACTGATATTACCGACTAATTTTCGTGTGATAACATCCAAAACATGTGTGAGAGCATGAGTCGTGCTCAGATGCAGAAAATCAGAGGTTTCAAAATAGAACCTCAGACACAAAATTAAAAGTGGAATTTTAGCGAACATCTGTAAATCTAACTACTTCACTCCTTGATTGCTGGAATAAATTGTCCTAGTATAGAGAAGCAGTCGATATGAATTCCTTCTTACGCTTTTAGGATGACCAAAGACTTCTTTACTTGTGAAGATGTCAATAATGATCGACATGATGTTGCTAAACAACACGATATCACACTATCGAATGTGAATAACTTTACAATACTGCAGAGATCACAGGTTTCTTTTCAAAAGAACTGTTTCATTTCACCCAGGCAAGTGAATAACTTGAAAAGTACTTTTAAATCGTCTTTGCATGTCAAATCTTGTCGTTCAAGTGACAAACTGCATATTTGTAGCTCATATTAATTTCTTTATGGTCGTTGCCATAAACGTTGATGGGTTGGAAGTATACAGAAGGTTTGTAAAAGTTACAACTCATTTATCACGAAAGTATTGCATGACAGTGGGTCAAAACCAGCTTTTTTGGATAGAAGAATCTAATCTTCATCGCTTTTTGCCGCTTGTAGAAGTGTCTCACATGTACTGCAAAAATTCATTACTGATACAAGCAAGTCCCATTGATTCATTGCTGATATCGGTAGCAAAGATTCAATTATTTCTGCGAGAAATTCACGGATTCTTCGTAATGATATTCATGTTTTATAGTCATAGGCTCCTAGCTACCCACTACTGACATGGTTAACATTCCATTAGGCAAAGAGGAGGTGGTTATGTCTATGTCCCTTTCTTACTTGGTGAGTTTGGCTCAACTGTGCTTGCGTTAAAAGGCCTTCTATTACCGAATGTTCACTTCTCTTGATGCCTTTATTTTTCTGCCTGTATCTAAATCAAAGATCTGGTCTTACAATGCTCAAAGGCTGTGGTGGGTTTAAAAATCCAACTGGTACATGCAGAGGTGGGGGAGGAGCCTGTCTTATTAAACCGTAGACTAATTTCGTCCAGTTAAAGAGGCTCTGTGATGAATGGGCCAGTTGACCTGGTTGAGGAGATGAAAACAGTGCCAGTTGAGTCGTCCTACTGGGCTTCTCTAATTATGACATCACTAATAGCAGATGGGAAAGCATCTGGGATTTATGTTTACTGCCGCTTGACGTTAAATACTCGGCTATTGCAACAGAGTGTTTTACTGTACATTTTAATCAAGTTTGGCTACCAAAAGGATGGCAGAAGGCCATAGTAAGTACTACCTATAAAGGGGATAGGAGAAGAGAACGTAAAAACCACCAACCCACAAGCTTAACTAGCATGGCCATGGAAACTTTTGGGACGATTATTCGCAAGGGGTTATTTAAGCTGTTAGACCGATACCTTCCTCGTCTTCCGATAGTTTATAGCTGGAAAATATCTTGTAGAAATGATCTGAATGATTCAAAATTTGGAAGTTGGAAATGAGTCCTGGTGCATCATAATGCATATTGATCACCACGGTGTAGATACATCGACAGTGAGTAAAATCTCGCTACCTGTTATATATACACACCATGACCTTGGAGTCATCATTAACCAAGACCTGAAGATGCAGCGAAATGCCATGCCATAGCTACCGGAGGTTTTAGAGACCTATGGAGAATACATAGAACTTCAAAACATTTCGTTACTGAAAACTCTTTGGACTTGGTACACAGTGTTTAACCATCCTGAACTCGAGTACCGCACACAAGTATCCATCCCCTTGCCTACCTAAAGCCTGAAATACTGAAAATTTCGGTGAACCGCAACTTAACTGATCCCTAGAATCGCAAAGATTTGGAAAGAAAACACGATATCTAAACTAAGCATATTTCGCCGGTCAGGTGGAGGGACACAGTTACAGCTTCTGAATTACTTGGGGGTAGATTTGTGTTTTGTATGCTCTTATTGTTCATGTCTTTAGAAGTATAACGATTACTATGATATCTGCAAACCTGGAACAAATCAGCTGTCAGCTGGCAGTCGACTTTTGCATCAAATTATTGACGAAGGGAACTCGTGCCTTAAGCACGTGAGTGAAGCTTTACCTGTCGACTCAACGACACGGACCACATAATATGTCGTCCTTTCGAAAATAAGACTGAAAGTGGTTATTTTTCATAAAACTCGAGTATTGGAAACGGTCGACAAGTCACTGCCAGAGAGAATCAAGCGAGATTTCGAATAACTTTCATAAATCCATAACTATTCTTTTCGGGTTGAAGTCGACACAGAAACTGTCTATATTAAACTATCCCCTCATATCGTATAATAGACTTAATAACAGTTTTCCAATTACCCAGTGATATTTTGAGGCTTCATGAGCTCTTTTTTTTCCTATAAATAAAATCACAGGTATAACTCATAAATATTTAAAAGTTAGGAATCAAATTTACAAGTTGTTTTTTCCCTCTCAAATCTACAGCTTTGAAGGACGATTTTTGGCGAACTTATGAGCATGAATAATGTTGACCTTGGTAACCGTCAGTTGTACTAAATAGCTTCAAAGTTGACTTTTATCATGAGTGGGGGTAAGCTGAATAGATTTTAGCATGTTTAAATATTTTCTTAATGTTTATCAGGAATAGTAGTTAATTTGAGAGATAAATATTTTTTTAATGATCAAACCAAATTCATATCACATGCAAAATAAGTGTAAAGACAGTTTAAATATATCATACGATGTTTATATAGTGTTGAGTGCTCCCAACTTATACAGGCTCTTGAACTTTCAGTGTCTTTAGGGTAAATTTAAACGTGAATATCAGTATATATAATCGTATTAAAGTATATGGACAATATTATTGCGAAAATACCTATTTAATTTATGTGAAAACTATTGCAACTGATGTAGCTATAGTGTTTTATGAAGAACTTTTACGAATCAGCCCTGCTATTTCGCGTATCTCTTATTTTTCCTGACTCCTAACCGTAAATGCTGTACATCATCGCTAACATTTATTCCTTATTCTTATTCGATCTGAGTTAATTTTCCTAAACTTCAGAAATTAAGCTGGATAAATAGTTTGCTAATAAAACCTGTAAAAGTGTGACTGAATTCGAAACAAATAATGAGATGTTAGAATTTTTTGAGAGTAACTACTCAGGGTTTCTATTCTTAATATTTAATTACAACTTTAACAGTTCAGAATTATTGTTGGTATCTATGACGTGGTTATAACGAAATATAAACACTAGATAGCTGTATATCCTCCTGGTTACTGCCAGTATGCCTCTATCCATTAAGTGTTATGATATCGCAAACCACAATCGGGTAATTTATTCCTTTTAGCATGAATCAGTCCAACCTTCCATAACTTCAAGGATTAGTCACCCATCATTTTCTGACCTCCTCTAGATTTTTTTCAATCTACTCTTACACCAGACATCACTAATTGAGGCAGTTTATGGATGGGCACACACATTCTCATTTGATAAAGATTCACTACGTCATCACTCGATTTTCCATAGTTTACTAGTATCTTGACCCTAACCTTTTCAATGCTCACCTGGTGGCTCCAAAGTATATAGGCAATTTTCAAAAGACACCGGTAATCGAGGACTAGTAACCTAAAGACGTCTTATGTTCATAACGGCCACGTTGCATATTTCTATCTCATGACTTACAATTTTAATCTCTTTACCACAGAATAACAAAATTCTGATTAGAATATTACTTTATTGTCATGGCTGAATATGATTGATTCAAAACAGTTTATTAGTATTATTTTATTTTGAGAAATTTTATTTGAAATTTACGAAATGTTTTATTTTTAGTAGACGTTTTCCATCTTTTTCACTTATCTGATCGTATAGGAATTACTGTAGGTCGTATATAGTTTGGTTTGGTTTGAAATACGACAACCCAAACAAATTGATCATCTGTCAATTTTGATTCTAAAATGATTCTAACTTCGATGAATTAAATATTCTGAAAAACTTTTATTTTGAAGGTCAGACCACAAAGTTTTAGCTAGGAATTTTTTTTCCGTTAGAAAAAAACGGCTATAGTCGTTGAAAATATTTATTTTAGCCCAGTTTTATTCCAAATATGTGTAGATCAATGAAGTTATTGCTTGAGCTTTTCTTTCTGTTTTCAACAGTTAACGATTTTTGTTGTTGTTTCTATAAGCTAGCCTTCAGTTGCATAATTAGTCCAAACTATTTACTGTAGGTTTCATAGGTCAGTAATATTTTAATATATATAACCATCTCCTTACAATCAGTTCCTTAGTAATCACCGCAATCATGAGTTTGTTTTGAATTTCTTAAAAGCCATAGATATTATTCAGTTTTATATGAAAATAGTATTCTATAACATAGTATACACCTCGTAGGTTTTTTTTGTGCTTTTCCTAAAAGCCATTTATAAAAAATACTACATACTGCTGAACTATTTCAGTTTGTAAAACATGTTCGAATACATATTTTACCCGGATGTTTTCTCATGTGTAAATAATTTAGTTGTATGATGCTAAGTTATCGTCCTCTCTTATAAAGGATATAAATATAATTATAAAAGACCAGCCTAACACAATCGGACCTATAAAAATTATTGCATTTGCTATTGGATTGAATTACTATTGGATTTGCATTGACAATTACATCTCTGTGCTAATGTGGTATGGCAACATTAACTGATGTACTTACGTACAAAGTTCAACGTTGCATCTGACTGACTGACTGACTGCGTTTGCTAAATCCTAAAACAGCCAACTTTTGTATCGTTGATTGATTATCTTATAAAAATGTTTTTATCATCCATTTTGGTTGATAATTAAATTTACAAATGGTAGAAATTTATTCAATCAATAATATTATAATTGCATTTGCTTCCTCCGTTTTAGATCATTTGTTAGTTAATTTGATATTTAGTAAAGTATTCTAAGCACTAGACTACTATTTCATATCGGTCTTTTTGAAGTTCTGTTTATATTTTATCAAATTGTTTGAGAGATAAAAACAACTCAGTATTGAAAAAAATGTCAACTGAACGATTGTTTGATTTATCATCCGACATTCGACAAATTTATGAGAGAATAGTAACTCAAAATGATGTATTATATAAATGCTTTTAATAATAACTAAGTTATAATAGTTTCTTTTGGTTATTTTAACGGACAGACAGACAGATACGACGCAGAACTTCGTACGTAAATACATCAGTTCAGGTTGCCATACCACGTCAGCACGGAGATGTAACTGTCATTTCAAATCCAATAGTGATAGCGATAGTAGAAGCATTAGCAGAAATGGAGAAGATTAGGGTTCGAAGATATGATTCGAGAAGTATAATTCAGTGAGATAAATTTAGAAGAAAGGTAGAGAGTGTGAGGAATTCCGAAGGTTAGAATTAGGGAGAACACAAACAGTGGATCCACCTGTGCCATTGCAAACGATTTTCAGCCATGTCGTTCAAGGTCTCTAACCATTGGTGACTTTCGTCTCTCAGACCCCAACCAGATAGCCTACATCTACCAACATGACTCAGTCCACTTGTCAGTGACTTCATGGATTTGTGCCATGTTTTAGTTTGGCCGCCCCTAACTTTCTTCCAACCTACTCCTACACCACAAAACATAGCTCGTCGAGGCAGTCGCTGGTAAGGCATTCGTAACACATTTACCAACTACCCCAACTGATGAAGTTTGAATGCTTCATCTATTGATTAGCCATCCTTTCCTAGTACTCGTTTCCTAACGACAGCATTGCTTATACGGTTGTCCCAGGATACACGAGCAATGCTTCGAATACACCTTTGATCGAAGGCTAGTAACCTACGAATTTCCTCTACTCTTAACGGCCATGGTTCGCATCAGTATAGTAGAACAGAGCGAACTGTTGCGCAGTACACTCGTCCTTTGGTTAACAAGCGGATATTTCGCCTACGCTATAAGTGACGCAGGTTGGCAAAAACCAATCGAGCCTTCTGTATCCGAGCTGAGATTTTGTCAGTCACCAGGCTATCAGCATTGATGAGACTCCCCAAATAAGTGAAGTGGTCTACACGTTCGACTAATTCAATCCCTTTCACTAGTTCAGGTACCTATGCAACCCAATCTTGAAGCAACATTTTGCATTTCGAAGTTAATTCAACATGAAGAAAAGCTATGGATAACTAAAACAAAACATGATATTAGCTCATGAAGTCATTAACTATTGGTCTGATCTATATTGGTATGTACAGACTATCAGAATTGTGCACGAACAATTTTCTTGACCTTGGGTTTGAGGTATTAGTTGATTTTACTCAGGACCAATTGCAACGAAATAGATACTTTCAGTGTTTTGAAGGTTCAATCAAATTTATTTGATAATTTTCATCGTAAAATGTAATAATTGGTGACAAGGCTAGTTTTTAGAGACTCCCACTCACGATGCTCTTCTGAACAATATTTTCCACTGGATATTTATGAAGATTTGATTTTGACCAATTTGGTCTCGTGTGCTGTTACGGGTATAAGGGCAGTTGTCACTTCCCGGCTGCACACACCGCGGAAGGTTGTTTCTTGAGGAACCTGAAAAGGAAGGTAGATTAGTGTTGGTCAGAACGACCTGCGAGCGTGACCGCAGAGCCCAAGGGACAACTGCTTGAGGCCGGTCACGCACGGCCTTTATATGAAGGATTTTTGAGTATTAGCTGCGCTCTTAAAGGCCCTTAGTGAGAACCCTTACCGACGGAGACGGAAATCCGTGAAGTAGGGTGAGGTGTGACATTTTTAGAGTCGACCTTTTCTAACCCATTCCTTCCTTGTGAGAAGGCAGCATCACTGCAGATGCTGGTTGTCCGAGGGAAACACCTTACTGCTGTCACACTCCTCTGCAGTGAGCAGCACGACTTCGCTGTGAGACCTTGAGTAGCTGCTTTTAGTCTGATCGTTCTCCAATAGACCTGCCTGGCATGGTAGAACCTACAAGAACATAAGTTCCAGCGAATATAGCTCGGTCGGGTCATGACGATAGTCAAGCCCGACCACCACGTCAAGGTAGCAACTTTGGTCGGGTATGAAGTATTGAAACTTCATCAGTTGAGGTGGTTGGAACATGTGTTACGAATGCCTTACCACCGATTGCCTCGTCGAGTTATGTTTTGTGGTTTAGGAGTAGGTTGCAAGAGAGCTAGGGGCGGCCAGACTAAAACATGGCATGACATGGCTCAAAACGGTTTGCAATGGCGCAAGTGCATCCATTCGCTGTGCTCTCCCAAATCCTAATCTTCTGGATTTGTCAGCAGCTCTACCTTTGTCTTTCTAACCTTATTTCACTGAATTATACTTCTTGAATAATCATATCTTCAAACTCTAGTCTTCTTCATTACCATTAATACCTCTACTATTTTTATCACTATGGGATTTGAACTGATATTTGCGTCTCTGTGCTAATTTGGTGGTATGGCAACATGAACTTATGTACATACGTACGAAGTTCTATGTTGCAACTGACTGACTGACTGACTGAATTATGAAGATTGTTGAAACCATGAATCGATTTTCGTTAGAGCACCATAAGAAATCTTGAAGCACTGGATGGT